GCCAGCCCTGCCCAGCCCACAGCCCCGGCCCTCGCTGAGCCGGCCCCGTCTTCGGACGCCAATGACAACGAGCTCCTTTCCCCTGAACCGGAGGGCCTCATCTGTCCCCAGAGCACCCGCCAGACGACCGAACCTGCCGAAGATGACAACAACAACGTGGCCACGGCCCCACCCACGGAGCAGGTCCCTAGCCCTGGGGCCGAGGCCCCCTCGCCGGGGGAGGACCAAGTCCCCCCAGCACTGCCCCCCGCCATGCCCCCACCAGGAGCCTCTACGGTGGGTGTCGTCCTAGGCCAGGGCCACGGCTTCCTAGTCAGCTTGCCTCTGTTTGTAGAACACCTGCCTGTGTTAGCCGTAGTGCTGGGGGCGGTGGGGCTTGCCAGACCCTCGTGCCTTCCCTCCCTGCGGCCAAGAGCGCGGATAGTACAGCCGTACACAGGTGGGGCTGTGAAGAAGCGCGCAGGGTGGCAGGGCTCTCCCTAGAGGACCCAGATTTCCCCCAGGACAGGAAGCTGCTGCTGGAATTTGAAGGGCAGGCCAGGAGAAGAACCTTCTAGACAGGCTTCCTGGTGGGAGGTCAGTGTTGGGGCAGAGAGCGGGGAGTGGGAGTCTGCTGTATCGGGAGGAATGAGCTGCTGACCCCCGAGCGTGGCTGTCACCCACCTCACTCGCCAGCACGGCTCCTCTGAGGAGCCTGGCCCCAGCCCCTGAGCCACTCTGCCCCGGAGCGCTGGGCTGGGCCCCGGGAGTGAGCGCGCCTCTCAACGCCAGGGGCTGCTTGGTGCTGCCGGGTACACACGCTGGCCCTGCCTTCCGTCCCTGTCCCTCCTTCCCACCGGGGCTGGGCGCCTTGGCGTGTGACTTTTAAATCAAAAGTGTGCTTCCTTCCCAGCAGAGCAAGCGGACCAACCTGAAGAAACCAAACTCGGAGCGGACGGGGCACGGGCTGAGGGTCCGGTTCAATCCGCTGGCGCTGCTCCTTGATGCTTCTCTGGAAGGGGAGTTCGACCTGGTGCAAAGGATCATCTATGAGGTGAGCTGGGCTGCAGCCACAGGCCGGGCTGCCCCGTGTGCTGGGACGTGGGGCTCACAGCGCCCTGTGTCCGTAGGTGGAAGACCCCAGCAAGCCCAACGACGAAGGGATCACGCCCCTGCACAACGCCGTCTGCGCCGGCCACCACCACATCGTCAAGTTCCTACTGGACTTCGGGGTCAACGTGAACGCCGCCGACAGCGATGGCTGGTGAGGGTCCCCAGGGCGCTTGGGCTGCACTCGGGCCCCGGGGAGGCGCGGGGGCAGGAAGGGGCCGGCCACTGCCCACCCGGCTGCCCTCCGGGTCCCGGGGTAAGAGGCTCTCCTCTCGCCGAGCTCTGGGCAGAGCGGATCGTGGCCGACGCATTGGGCAGGTTGTGACTCTGCGGCTGGTTTTGGGCGGTGGGACGCCCGGGTGGAAAGGAAGCGCCGCGGCCGCTCCAGCTGCACATTCGCGTTGCGGCTTGCGGGGCCCTCCTGCCGCAGGGCCGGCCCCGGGGTCTCCTGTGGATTTGGTTGGGACGTCAGGCACCTGTCTGGGGGGTTGGAACACCTGGGTCTTCTACACTGTGGTGAAATACAGCTGACGGCTTTGCGCCGCGCGTTCCCGCGGCCCTGGGGCACGTCGTGGGCTGCTCTGCAGGCCTCGGCGCCCGGCCTGTTGGGCGGCACACATGCCGTCTGGGATGTGGGGTGAGGAGACACCAGGCCATGAAAAAGGCCAAGGCCGACACCCGTGGGACTGGAGGCCGCCGGCCAGCTCACCCGCTCTCCGTTCCAGGACGCCGCTGCACTGCGCAGCCTCTTGCAACAGCGTCCACCTCTGCAAACAGCTGGTGGAGAGCGGCGCCGCCATCTTCGCCTCCACCATCAGCGACATCGAAACAGCCGCGGACAAGTGTGAGGAGATGGAGGAAGGCTACATCCAGTGCTCCCAGTTCCTGTATGGTACGTAGCGGTGCGGCGCCGGCGTGCCCGTGCTGCTGCTGGCCTGGGAGAAGCTTGTTTCCGCTTGGCGAGCAGTCCCCCCACCCGTCACCCGTCTCATCAGAATGGAGGTCGTGCTGTCCCTTAGGCCCATTCCTAAAAACCTCTTTGAAAACCCACGTTGTCAGGAAGATTCTCGCCAAATCGCTAACAAAGAAGCGCTTTGGCGCTGGGCGCGGGGGGCTGGGCAGCAGCCGTCTGTCCGCTTCTGGGGCGCACCAGGGCACTCCAGGTGGGAGCCCCTGTCCCCATCCTGTGGTGACGGGTGACGACGAGTGTGCCGCTTGAGGAGCAAGCCTCGTTCTGGTGTACGTCACTTGAGCAGGGGGTCAGACTTCGGGATCGGAGCAGCCCTCTGTCCTGGGGTAAAACACCTGTGGGTCGTCTCCTCCACACCTAACTCGAGAACCTTCGGGCCTAGCCCTACACTTGACCCTGGGGACACCGTGATAAAGGGAAGTGGGCCCCAGGCTCCCGAGGCCCCAGTCGCAGTAATAGCCATGCCAGGAGAAGGACGGCAGCAGGTGGCGGGGCCGTCAGCCCCCAGCTCTTCTCAGGGACCCTGTAGTCACTCCAGGCAGGAGCCGGCCTGGTGGCCGTGGTGTGGTGGCGGGGAGTGGCGGCCGCCACTGTGAGGGCTCCCCATACCCAGGGGCAGTCAGGCAACGGCTTAGTTGACTTTTGGGAAATTGTCCCCAGTGGGAGTTGTAAGGATGACCTTAGGGAGCCCCTCGTCCTTTGCCTCAGGCCCCAGCACTCCAGGAGCCGGACTCCTGCCGTGCAGAGACAGGGTGGGGAGAGCATGGGGGACCCCTGCCGCCCCCTGACCACTTGCTTGCTCTCTCATCCCAGGGGTGCAGGAGAAGCTAGGCGTGATGAACAAAGGAGTGGTGTACGCCCTGTGGGGCTACGAGGCCCAGAACAGCGATGAGCTGTCCTTCCACGAGGGGGACGCCATCACCATCTTGCGGCGCAAAGACGAGAGCGAGACGGAGTGGTGGTGGGCTCGCCTCGGGGACCGGGAGGGCTACGTGCCCAAGAACCTGCTGGGGGTGAGCACTGTGCGCTCGCTGCCCTGGGGTCGGCCTGGGCAGCCTGGGGGTCCTGTCCCCTTCTTCCCGTCTGGGGTTCCATGCGGGGGCGGCTCCTGTGGGGAGAGATGGCCATTTGCCATCCTCGGTGTCATCCGTGTTAGTGGGCGAGTTCGCAGCGGCGGCAGGAGGCTCTGGCTGGTGGGGACACCACACCGTAGGGGCCGTGGGGGCGGGTGCTGTGGAGCCACAAGCACCCTGACACAGGAGCTTTGGCGAGCAGCCCCCCGGCCGCCCCAACTGTCTGCAGTCCTGACACGTCCCCGGGTGGGAGCGTCCCTGGGTGGGGAGCGGGCCGGCCGCTCCCTCTGTGGTGTTGGTAACTGTCCTCCACCCCGCGACAGAGCGGGTGCGCCTGCACGCGGCCCACATGCCTAGCTAGGCGGGAGGGTGCGCCTTTCCCCCCGCCGAAGTGCACCGGGGAGCCTTCCAGCCAGCAGCGCGGGTTCTCCATGGTACCCGGTGCTGGGAGAGGCTGCCCTTGGCAGGGGCACAGCTTATAAAGGGAGTCGGGACCTGGGGTGGCAGGTGGCCTGACGGGGCGGCCGGCCGTGCGGCCCTCTGGGCGCCCCTTCCTGCTCAGTGGGACCATGGCCTTGTTCTGTCCCCGTTGATTCCCAGTTGTATCCGCGGATCAAACCCCGACAGCGCACGCTGGCCTGAACTTGCCATCGGAGCACTGCCCGGGCCCGCCAGCCGAGGGGCCGCCGGAGAGGTCGCTCCGCCGTTTCTCCAGGAAAGCCGAAGCCGGACACGGTTGATAATGGTGCTCACTTTAGCAGACGGCGTCCGCGATGTGAAATTTCCGCAGCTTCTGGGTGAGGCCCTGTCTTCAGTTTGCCCATAACTGGGAGAGGTACTTTTGCCTCCAAGAAGACTGAATTTTGCCAATTACTGTAAATCCAAATAAATATCCAGCTTTCTAAACAACTGTCCCTTTTGCCAATAAGCAGCCCTATAATTTATCCCTGGCTGGTTGCCAATGAAGATGAACCCTCTTACTGACTTGGCCCCAAGGCCGTCCCTCGTTCCCAGTGTCACCCCCACCCCAACACTGAAAACTTGCACCCACAGTGAGGTGTGCCCTCTGCTCGAGCCTGCCCTCCTGTCACCGAAGTCCTAGCAACCCCACCGCCCTTGCCACCCTACCACGCACATCTCTTCCTTCCCCTACCAAAGGAGCCCCGTGTGGAAACTTGTCAGTGGTGGTGCTTGATGCGTGTGTCCGGGCATTGCTGTCACCCTCATACAGGCCGACGGGGCTGGACCGGGCCGCCACGGCCCAGGGGCCAGAGCCCTTGAACCAAGCGGCAAACGGGAGCCCCCAGATGGCACCGTCCCCTCCTCTGCTCACAGCACCGCCTTCCCTGCAGCAGCCCACAGGCCGGGGTGGGGCACACGTGGGGGGGGGGGGGGGGGGGGGGGGGGGGGGGGCTGCACAGCAGGGGGGCAGCGTGGGCCTGCTGTGATGTGATAACCTCGGCCCAGTCCAGACTCCAGGTGGAACTGTACGTACAGACTTTTCTATACCAAAAGTATTTTTTGACTAGACCATTCGAAACCACCAGAATAATATTGGAAATTTTTTTTCTCATTAAAAGCCAGGCCCTTAGGCTTTATTTTCCATGTATGAGTCCTGTGTATAATTTAACTGTAGAGCCGCTGCTGTAGCCAGGCCCCCCCCAAGCACGGACTGTGTGCCGGGCCGCCACCCCCCTAAGGACCACCCCCGCCGCGAGCTCCCCGCCGCGGCCGCCCTGTAACGACGCCCAATAAAGCCTGTCTCTCCCCCGCGGCTGCGAGTCTTGTGTTCGGGAGCCCGACGGGGTGGCAGCGGGAAAGCACGGGGGCTTGGGGACATGGTGAGGCGAGACCCGATCCATATTTTCAAAATAGGTTTTAATCATAAGCTTTATATACAAATTGTTGTACGATTACTTTAATAAAGTGAAACGGTAAGTGAAAAGTACAAAAAGCAAAGCGGGCTCTTCCCCCTCAGTGAGTATCAAAGGTTTGCTCGTAGCCCAGGTTAGTGATGCGGGAAGCGAGCGGCCTACGATCGGGCTCAGGCCACCCAGAAAGCAGCATGTGTCCTCGTGCTGCCAGGGACCACGGGGGGACCAGAACCTTCTAGTAAACCTGGGCACCCATAAAAACGTGGTTTAAGGTATGCTAAAAATAGTTGGCAGTAGTGTGACTCCACCTCTCCCACCTCCAGGTAAGTGTGGACAAGGTGACGAACTCTAAAGCGTGAGGCCGTTCAGGGCATCAGTAGACTGTGAACCTGCACTGGCTAAGCAAGCGCTCGCCTCCCCGACACTCTGGCTGCGCGTCCCAGCCCGTGGCGGGTTAGTTGCCTGTGCGTGCGGAGAGCAGGCTCCGCGGTTCCACGCCGGCGGGCCGTCCTGCGCGGTTACTGGTCCCGTGACTCGTACAGGAGCTTGGTGGCCTAGAATGGGGCCAGAGAAGCATGCTTGGGCCTGTGCCTGGTTGGAGCTGGTGTAGGCACCCCCTCCGCGGCTGGCAGGGCCGCCTCGGGGAAAAGTGGGCCCACGCTCGAAGCAGAACGGTGCAGCCCCCCCACCCCACCCCGTGCGCCCCTGCCTGCCTCGGCCCAAGTACCTTGTGCATGGCCGCCAGCCACGCTGTCGACTGCCTTCGGCCGGCGCTGGCGTCCTCCCCGGCCGTCAGCTTCAGCTGGGTCGTGCCCTCTGCCCCTGGTGCCGTGCACTGCAGGGACATGCCTGTGGCCCGTACGTTGCCTCCTGGAAAAGGGAGACAAAGTAAGAAGGCCCACGGGGACCTCAACCACCCAGGATTCCCCACCCAGGATTCCACCTGGCCTCACGCCGGCGCCGGAGGCCCTCTGGTGGACGACCCTGGGTTCACAGGACGGGCGAGAAATCTCCGGGACTGGCCCTCCAGGGCCCGGGACGCATCCTACCCCGTCCCTGAGCCCAGTGAACCGCAACTGCGACAGCCAGTCCCACGTGGGGGCTCCTGCGGGTGGGAAGCCCCCACAACCGGCTGGCTCCGTGCGCGCACCAGTCCCGCGTGGCCGCGGCACACCGGCCATGGCAAGGCCCAGAGGAGTGCCGACACCCCCGCGTGCGTGAGCGCCTGCGGAGATGCCAGGGCGGGGAGCAGCCCCCACAGGCCAGGCCGGCAGCTCAAGGACCCGCCACTCACGAACAGGCCGGCGCGCTCAGTCGCGACTAGTCAGAGAAGCCCGCGCACGCCGAGCCTCACGGCGAAGTCTACCTACGGCTTTTCGACTTTGCGACGCAGGATGGGAACTCCGTTCTGAGCAGGAGTCCGGCCCACGGAGGAGTCCTCCCGTCAGACACGGATCTCGCGGTCAGACCTGAGCGCCTGCCTCTCCCCCAGGCCTGTGGACTGGGGATGGCACTGGACGGCTGAGGGGGCCTGGCCACCAGACGATGGCAACGGTCAAGCACTGTCCCGGCCACCTCAGCTAACCTCTCATGAGCCCCGTTCCGTCTGTGCGTGTCGCCAGGCCAGTCCCTGACCGGGCCCCTATGGGACTGCCCACTTCTATGGGAGGGGGGCACCAACCATGGCTCTGGCTTTACGTGGCACACAGCCCCAGCTGTTTCCCGTCGCCTCTGGCTGCTCCTGCCCTTTGTGAGAATCCACGGAGCTGGCAAAGCCGAGAACGGCGACCGCCCAGCAGCAACTCGGACTGCCGCCTGCTGGGAACCGTGCCTCCCCCGCCACCCACCCCGGGGAAGACCGCGTTCTCCGCTTTTAAAAAACTCCCGGCAGGGAGCCCGCCTTCTCCTCTCTCTGCCTACTGGGGATCTCTCTGTCAAGTAAAGTCTTCAAAAAAAAAAAAAACAACAGAGCAGGGCTCACTGCACCCCCAAAACTGCCAGAAGGGGGCATGCGGCCCCAGAAAGAAGACGGGGCTTCAGCAGGCCACTAGGGGGCGGCCTTCTCCCTGGCCTGGGCGGGGCTCCCTAGCAGGAGGCGGGCAGAGGGGCACCCGGGCTGCCCCCCAGCTTCTCCACGCCCTGCCCTTTGTACCTGGGTGTCTGCGACTCCCACCGGCCCCAGGCAGCCGGCGTGGTGCTGGCCTCACACCCTGTGCACGGGGCAGAGGCAGGGAGCACTGCCCACTCGGGGGCTCACACGGAGGCGCAGAGCAGGCCGAGAAGGCACGGGAATGTCCAGGAGGGAGGCCGCCCCCAGCGTCCCGCTGCCCCGGACTTGGCCAGCTCGGGGACGCGCGGCTGCCAAATCCCGGGGAAAGCTGCGCCCTTGGGATTGTGAAACGGAGCAAACGAACCGCATTCCTGCCGCTGGGACACTTCGTTGGTGCGGCGCACGCCCACGTCGCGGGCCCAACCCCTTTCGAGTCAACTGACACGAGCTGCTGCCTTGGGCTCACGTCGTGATCCCGCGGCTCGTGAACGAGCCCCACATCGGGCTCCTTGCTGGGCAGGGAGCCTGCTCCTCCCTCTCCCTCCGCCCTCGCCCCGCTCGCGCGCGCTCGCTCTCCAGCGAGATCTCGTTTCGGAAGGCGGCGCGGACACACGCGGCACCGCGCGGCACGTGAGAGAGCCCGGGGCACGGTCCCGGGGCTGCGGGCGGAGTGGCGCGCGGCGTGGGGCTGACCTTCAGAGACGGGCTGGCTCCCCAGGAGGCCGGTGTAAGCGTGAGAGTCTTTTTCTACATCAAGAAGGCAGGCAGGCAGGAGAGAGAACGAGCGCCCGTCAGAAAAGAGCGCGACAGGGAGTCAGTCGCGTGGGCGCCCCGCACGCTGCACGCCGGACGCGGACTCTCCCGCGGAAAGCCGCTACCGAAGCACAGAGCGAGATGGAAAGATCCAGACGGGCCGAAAGGCTCTGGAAGCTGCCCGGGAAACGTGAGGGGATCTCACTTCACAGACACCTGACAGGAGCGGAAGCCCCGGTTCCCAACGAGCCACCGCTCAGGCCTTCTGAGCGCGAGGGTGACGCCAGCGGCGCCGGGAGCCTCAGCCTCGGCGCGAGGCCAACAGCAACGGGGCGCGTCCGGGCAGATTCGCCTTCGTTGCCGGACACACGCAGCCCCGTTTCCCTGGCGGGTTCCTGAAGACACTGAACACGAGCCCAGGAGGACGCCGGGCGGGCCTCCCCGGGACCGCAGCCGCGCGGAGCACGAGGCCCCGAGACCCGGTCCCGCACACCGCGCCGCCCTCCCCGCCCGCGCGGCGCTCACCTGGGGCCGGGAAGCCTTCCGTGAGGACCTGCACCGCCGAGATGCGCGCGATTTCAATCTCGTGGCGGCTGTCCCCTTCCAGAAGCAAGTACCTAGGGAGCAGAGCGACCACAGCACGTCACCCGGGGTCACGGCGATAGTGGCGTCCCTGCCGAGCGGTGCCCTGCCTCTTACCTCTGGTTGCCGGACAGACGGCAAACCATCGTCTCTGGTTTCTCGGCGTCTCCCAGCGTCACGAGGAAGGTGGCTCCTGGGAGCAGAAGAACAAACGTGAAGCACAGCGGCTCCTCTCGCGCCTCGCCCTCCCTGGCCCGGCCAGGCTGCTCCCGGGGACGCGCGCCCCCAGGCAAGACCACGGCGGGGGGCTGCGCCCGCAGGGCCGCAACGGAGGACGAGCAGGGGCGCGGCTGTTGGGAGAGGCTCTGTGCACCCCGAAAGCTCCGGGGAACCGTCCGTCCTTTCCCAGAAGGCCCCAGGGGCTCCGGCGGCAGGGGGCAGGGGCGGAGGGCAGGGGGAGGCGGGAGGAGGCCCGCAGGCCCCGGCTTACCGCTCAGGAGCACCTTGAGCTGCTTGTCGTAGAACTCGGCCTCCTTGTGGGACACGAGGGCGCACTCGGCGCACTGCCGCACGGGGTCCACGAAGCACATGCGTCGCAGCGGCACCTTCTGGCCACAGCACTTGTCGCAGAAGCACTTCCCACACCGGCGACAGTGGTGCTGCGGGCGGGGCGGCGGTGAGGGGGCAGAGGGCAGGCCCCCACCAAGCGATGAGGTCGCCGTGAGGGCCGCTCTGCGTCCCACTGCCCACCCGCCGGGACGCCCCACCTCCACGGAGGGGACACCCCTCGGAGAGCAAGACCCGCGTGTGTGGCCGCGCCCGGCACGGTCACACGGGTGTGCAAGCTGCGCTGGGCCCCGGGCCGAGTCCCAGTCCGCTCTCCTCAGGCGGACACGCGGCACCCCCCGCCCCCGGCAGTGGTGCGATGTGGCCTGGGCCCCCCCCCAGCGGCCTCAGCTCACCTTTCTGGTGAGAAAGTCAAACTTGGCGTCACACTGCATACACCTCGGGCACTGGGAGGGAGGACGACTAAGTATCAGGCCGCAGCTCTGAGCGGCGGGGACAGTGCCCCTCCCGCCCCTCCCAGCCCAGATGCTGGGGTGGCTGCCAGCGTGACGGAGACAGGGCGACAGGCTTGGCCACCAGCTCAGGAGCCCCACAGGCCGGGTGACCCCCCAGCTGCAGGCCGTGGGGGCTCATGGGGGGACACCAAGGGCACGAGTGAGGTCCGAGCCCGAGCAGCTCTGGGCAGGGAATGGCTCAGATGGCATCTCGGGGACCCTGGAGCGTGCTCGAGCCAGGGCAGTGGTCAGAGCCCAAACGGCCACACTGGGGCTGTCCTGGTGCTGGAAGCAAGGACCGTGTCACAGGACCACAAGACGGCACGGCCGGGAGCAGCCGCTGCAGCTACATTAGGGGCAGGCCCGGCCGGCAGCGGCCCGCGCGCGGCCACACGTGTGTGCAGAAGAGGCCGCATGGGACGGGAGATGGTGTGGGCTGGAGGCAGGTTCGCCGCGGTCACTGCCAGGCCTGGAGATGCTCCCGGACGCTCCTCGGAGGAAGGAACCAGAGGGAACGACAGCAGCCAAGCCGGGGCTCGGGGCAACAGGCGCCCCAGAAGGGCAGAGACCAGGGCGCTGGGCACGAGGGGAGGCCTCCCCACCCACGCACTCCCGGGACAGGAGGCCCTATTCGGGCACCAAGGACAGGGGACGAGCTCAGGCCTCTCCGTTAACACAAGCGAACAGAGCTGGTTCCGGTTTTGCCAGAAGCCCCAAAGGGCGGTCCGGGCGCGGAGGAAGCTTGGCTCCCCACAGTGGGAAAGCCGGTCCGCACCCCTGGGGAGCTTCAGCCCCGCAGCGCGGCGACAGGGCAACGGTCCCCACACCCCACCCCCCAGGCAGGGAGGAGGGCTTCCCAGCGGGACCGGTTCGGGGACAGCCAGTCCTGCCCAGCCGGGCCTTCCCTCGTCCCCACCGTCTTCACTCTGGTCAGACGCCCTCAGCCACAGGGGCAGCCGGGCCACTCCTAGCCCGTGCCACCCCCAGGCTCAAACCCCCCCCCCCCCCCCCCCCCCCCCCGCGCGGCCCCCCCCGCCCTCCCCCCCCCCCCCCCCGGGCTCAAACCCGCCCCCCCCCCGGCACCTGCTCTGCGAGTCCTTCTGGGCCTTGGCCTCCCCCAAGCCGGGCAAACAGCGAGCTCCGGGGAGATTCCAGTCCTGCCAATCTGTGCGGCCCCGGAGTCCGGGAGCCTCGTGCAGCCGCTCCCGGAGGGGCCTGGGCCCTTGTCCTTCCCAGAGGCCACCCTGCGGCCACAGCCCGCGCACCGGGAGTGGTGTCTGAGCCTTTTGAGATCCGATGACTCACATTCTCTCGTTTCCTCTTTGCCCTTACACTGCCTTCTGGACTGGGACACAGGTCTTGGTCCACCTTGGCCTTCCAGAACCATCTACGGAGCCCCTCGCGGCTTTGAGTGTGAGCTGGCTGCTCACCGCACCGTGGCTGCGTCTGCCCATCCCCTGCCACTGCCTCTCCCTTCTCCATCCCCGGCACTGCTCTCCCTTCTGTGAGTTCTGGAAGGCTACGTGCGGCAGGGCGCGGGCTCTACGTGGCTCCCGCAGTGCCAGCCACAGAATCCACGGAGAAAGCCTCCAGCGAGGCCGAGGCCAGGGCACACCAGGAAGCCTGTGCCGCCCTCCCTCTCCCTCCCCACTGCCTCTGTCGCTCGCTTCTGAGCGTAAGGCTGGGGTGTTCGGGCAAGTTGAAGGGCCGACTTTTGAACTAAATCACATTCAGAATTTAAAACATGCTCCTTAACAGTGTAAGTGACACAAAAGTTCATTAGACCAGTAACGAGGAGATTGGGAAAACTGGCCCTTCAACAAGGTAGTTTGCTGACCACGTAACAGAAAAGACACTTTGAAAATGATCAGCAGAGCAATTCAATCTAAAGAAAATGAAATCAAGAAAGCAAGAGGCAAAAAGACCAAAGTAAAAATACGGCCAAACACCAGATGCCCCGTCTGAGAAACTGTCCCCAGAGCAAGCAAACACGACAGGCACCAGCCCAGCCCCACAGTGGTGACACCGAACTAGACCGGGCGACTCCAAGGCCCGGGGCCCTGGAAAGCACGTGCGGCCCGCCCCCGCCCCCCACGGCCCGGCCTGCGTGGTCCCCACCAGGGTGGGAGGGGGCTGAGGCTCCGACACACGGGATCTCCAGGGCAGGCCCCCCATGAGGGACTGAGGAAGGGTCATGCACACGGTGCACATGTGCCCACAGCCCCCTGTGCTGCCTGAGCCCTTGCACAGGCCACCCACCGCGACCCCCACTCCCGGGGACACAGCCCGGGGAACAGGAGGCTCCAGCCTGGCCTCCTGGGGCCCCGAGCTCAGCCCAGGGCCTCTCACCCGGCGGACTGGATGCAGGAAGCTGGTGGTGAGGGGTGGCCTCTGGAGGGGCGCTGCGCACCCCGGAGGAGGGGGAGGCTGGGGCCGGAATTCCCGGCCCGGCACCTGCTCTGGGGCCTCGGACTCCTGGCAGGTTGGGTGGCCCCGTGGCGGACGCAGGAGCCAAGAGCGGCCCGGGCCCTGGAACAAGTGCGCCTCGGGAACCCCAGGGTCCCGCTGCCGCGCGGCTGAAAGACCTGCCACGCTGCCCGACCCTCACAGGAGGAGCCCCCAGAGGCGCGAGGGGCCCCTCCAGAAGCAGTCCCAGCACACAGGTGACGGAGGGTCTCCCCTCCACATCAGAACAGTCAGAAAATGCGGGGCTGAGAGCCTCTGAAGGAGCGTCAACAAAGGCGACTGCACAAGAAGAGCCTGAGGGGGTCAGGGGACCACCGCGCCACACCCCATGACACCCACAACCCGTCGCCGGGACCAGACCCTCCGACCCTCACACAGCGCCGTGTCTTAGGTTCCTCAGAAGCAAACAGAAAATAAAATTTAAAATACTTGTATTGAAAGATAATCCTGTCTAGGGGTGCCCGGCTGGCTCAGAGGAAGAGCGGGAGACTCTGATCTTGGAGTCATGAGTTTGGGCCTCACGCTGGGTGTAGACATTGCTTAAAAAGAAAATGTTTAATTAAAAAAAAATAATAATCCCCGGGTGGCTCAGTGGGTTAAGCCTCTGCCTTCGGCTCGGGTCATGATCTCAGGGTCCTGGGATCGAGCCCCGCATCGGGCTCTCTGCTTCCTCCCTCTCTCCGCCTGCCTCTCTGCCTACTTGTGATCTCTGTCAAAGAAATAAATAAAATCTTTAAAAAAAAAACAAAGAAAACAACAAAAAACCCCAAACGGTGTTGTGTCAACCAAGCGGCTAGTTCAGCTTGTAACTCAAACAGTGGCCGCACGTGTACTTTTGCTCAGGGCGGCCACTGCCTTTCACGGGGCAGTAGAAGGGCTAGTGGTGAGCCGTGCATTTCTGCATGGAGAATATTAAACATCTGTGTACTCAGGGTTGAGATTTAATAAAAGTAACTCTTTTTATCCTTTTATCAACCCGGGTTGACGCCTCCCCTGATGTCGGGTCACACTACCCGCGCCTCCACGTGCGCCTCCGCCCGCCTGGGGTCCCTCCCGCCTGGCCCGAGACGCTGGTGGACCCCGAGGTCTCCCTCCCGCAGCCGCGGCTCCTTCCCGGGCCGCCAACAGCCCCACCCAGCAGCACCTCTCCCGGCTCGGGGCTGTCTGACCCCCGCGTGCTCCTCCCAAGTTCCGTGTCTGCAGGGAATCCCGGTGTCGGAACAAGAACACGGAGCGGCCGTCGCCACGGAGCGGCCGTCGCCACCGGTCACACTCGGGGCTGAAGACCGGGCGGGGAGGGCGGGCAAGACGCAGGGTTCTCAAGGCTGAAACTCAGCATCTCCATCTGCTCGTGACCATCCCTCCGGCCGCGTGCCCAGGGAGCCCACCGCAAGCCCATCTCCACCACCATTCACGTGAGTCCGAGGCCGCTGCCAGGCTCCCCGCAAACCTGCCAGCCCCCGCCAGCGGGGTTTAGCAATGGCTATTTCGCGGGAACCCCCGGGGGAAGCGGGGGGCTACAGGCCATCTCTCTGTGCATGCACGGCATACACGCTCCCCAAATTTGTAACACTTTTAAAGGATGTCCCCACAGGCCCAAACTAACTACCTGGCACGGGCTCAGGCAGCTACAAAGTACAAGAGACGTGGACTGGACTGGCCTCAGGGTGACCCAGTGGAAAACAGAGCCACGATGACACGCGGAAGGCCGCCCACTAACACGTCGATGCTGCTAACTGAAGTGGTGGGTCTACTGGACACCGTCCAGCCCCGTCTGCCCAACCCTAACCCCCCACCCCCAGCCCCACCCACCACGGATAAACAAACCGGTTTCTCACCACCAGCACCGCAAGCTCTGTGCCCCCCTGCACACAAAGGGGGTCCAGAAGCACGGGGGGGGGGGGCAGTGCACAGCAGGGGGGCGTCCCTTCCACAGTGCCAGGCCCAGGACTGGTGGCAGAGCAGGAGCTGCCACACCCCTCCCCAAGGCTTCCAGAGGCTCCTAGCCCACATTGCCTGCCCCATGCCAACTTTCTTTTCCTCCAGAACACTCTCTGCTAAAAACTCGGGACTCTTGGATCATGCCCCAGGAGGCTGCAAACTCTACTTCCTGAAACTCAGACAACCCCCCCCAGCACCGCCCCCCACCCCGCACCCAGGGGAAGGCCTCCAGGGCCTGGCCTGACTCTTCCATGGACAAACCGGGGCAGGGGGCGCTCTGGAGCGACGCCTGCCACCCTTTCAGCTCCGGAACCAACCACCAGCAGAAGGAGGGACACCTCCCGGATTCGAGTGTTCGCACCCAGCGCACCAGCACCCGCCAGAAGACCCCTCTTGTCACTTTGTGGTCAGCAGTGGCCAAGAGGCAGGAAAACACAGGCGGTGTCTCCGGGAAACGGCACAATGCGGGAGAGAGCCGGGGGGACAGCAGTCACCCCAGCCGCTAACCCAGTGTGGCCGCCCACAGTGCTTCCGTCCAGATGGCTCTCACTGCTGGCCACCAGGTCCCTGAGCGATGGGGGGGCCTGTTGGTGCTGTTGGAATTCACGGGGGATTGGTCAGGGACAGAATGTCTCCTGTAGCTCCGGGGGGGGGGGGGGGGCCTTGATGGAAAAATTCTGCCTCCCACTCCCTCACCTCCGTGACACATGGGCGACCAGATCACCATCTGGCCTCAGGTCATGTGTGCACAGGTGCAGAGTCCGGCCTCCGGAGTCACGACCACCCCTCCCCCACTGCGGAAGCGAGCAATTCGCCCGTCTGCACCTTGGGTCACCTGCCTGTCCCCACCTCGAGCCATGCTACTTCGACTTCCCGGAACGCAGTAACTTTCGCACTCACGTATGACCGGGAGGGAGACATGATACTTTCATCCTTCCACAGCCCTAACCAGGCAGGCCCTGCGAGCAAAGGTACATGCTGTTCCGAGGAGGAGCGCCGAGGAGCTCCGAGGGTACAACGGAAAAGAACGCGCTCACACAGGGCAACAAGGGGCGGAGGCCCGGGAGGCCCAAGGCAGGGCCACTGACCTCCAGGCTGGCCCCTCCTCCCCGCGGCCCTGCACCGGGCCACTCCCCAGCTTCTGGCCGCTTGCCCTCCTCCCACACCAGACACCTATTTCACTCCTGCGCGGAAAGCCTGCGGCCCGACAGCGACTATGGGGGCTGGGGGCTGACCAGACACAGGGGGTCACTCAGCGCACTCCCGACAATCAGGGGCTGCCAACTTCCCTCCGGGGCCTGTGATTTACAGGACGCACGGCGTCTGTCCCCCGGCCCCCGGGAATCAACAGCTGCCGGCTTGTGGACACCGAACGGCCTTGCGAAGGAGCCGCACCCACCCGGCCAACGGGGACTGCTCGGCGCCTCCCCCGGCCTCGCCCTCCCGCCACAGCTGCTCCCGCCTCTCCAAGCAGGTGCGGTCCCCTAACCGGGACGCCCTCCTCACCGTCCACCCGGAGCCTCCTGCTCAAACCCCGCGCTCCGCTCGCACCGCGCAAGGGCCCCCCCAGGGCGCGCAGGGGGCCTGACCGCCGTCCCCCCCCCCCCGCGGAGCGCGAGCCCCGCTCAGCGGCTCAACCAACAAGCGGAAGCCCCGCCGGACCTCGCGGGTGGGCAGAGCCCGGACCGGGCGGGAGGGGCTGCCCGTGCCCGGCGCTCTCCGCGCGTGGGGTGGGGATGCGCGAGCCTGGGCTCCCCGAGAGGGAACCAGGCGGAGGGCGCAGTGCCCAAGGCCCCGGAAGGGCTGGAGCGCGGGCGGCGGGAGCGCGGGGGGCCGAGGGCAGCCGTGGTGGGGCCCGGGAGGCCAGCAGGAGCCAGAGCAGCGGTGCGGGCTGCAGGGACGCGGACGCGGGTCCCGGCGCGCAGACGGGGGTTGCGGGGAGTCCCGGGGCGCATATATGGGGCCCTCGGGCTCGGAAGGGGGGCGCGGGCGAGGGTGCGGGGGGTCCCGGGCGAGCGGAGCGCGGACGGGGGTCGGGAAGCCGGCGGACCGCGGCGACCTACCTCCTTGTCCGGGACCCACTGCGGCTCCTCCAGGCCGAAGGGGCTGCCAAAGGCGCGGTGCTCGGGTACCATGCGCAGGCCGCTGGGGGAGCGCACCAGCTTCTTGGCATCGCGGCGCGCGGCCACCTCGGAGGACATGACGCCGCCACAGCGCTCGCCAGCCGCCCGGACCCCCGCCCCGCCAGGAGCCCCGCCCTGCCCGCGTGGATGACACGGGCCGCGTCCAATCGCCACGCCCGGCCCGGAGCGCGGGCCAATCGGAGCCGCGGTCTTCAGTCCTGCGGTCGGCCACCAATCGGCAGGGAGGACGCGCCCAAGCACGCCCCGCCGCCTGGGACGATTGAGACTTTGGATTGGTCCGTTAGTCTGCGTCGTAGCGCCGCTTCCTCTCTGATTGGCAATTCCGGTGCGGGACGCCCGGCTCGTATTGGAGAGGGAGGTTGCGAGGGGCGGGGCAGCGCGAGGCGGCGAGCGCGGCGCGGGGTGAGCTGGCGGCGGGCCGCGGGGTCGCGGTGCGGGGTGGGTACGCGGCGAGCGGGGCCCCGGGCGGGGTCGCGGGTCGTCCACGCCGGCAAAGCTCGCGAGCGGGCGGAGGGGGCTGCGGGGCCCGCGGCGGTGGGGGCGGCCGGCGGGGAGTCGCGCGGAGCTGGGGGCGGGGGCCGGGGCCGGCCCTGGAGCAGATTCGGGTCCCGCGGCCGCGCCTTCCTGCAGGCTCCGGCGGCTGCTGGACACCCGAGTCCCGGCCCGGAGTGCGGCTGGGCCGGTCCGAGCTCCGAGCCTGCCGAGCGGCGCGTGGGACCCGCTGCCGCGTGAGTCCCCTGAAGCGGGAGGGAGGGAGCCCGGGGACAGGGGCCTCCCCGCAGGGCTCTCCGCAGCCACACGGACCCTAACGTTCATGCAGACCGTGGCTCCCTGGGGCAGCTTTGTCCCCTCACCTAGCGGCCGTGGTGGTCCCTGTCCCCCATAAGCAGTAACCGAAGTGCTCGCGAAGCCGCCCGTCGGAGGAGCACAGGGCCCGGAGGGCTGGCTCGGCCCCTACCCCTCAGGGAGGCGGGGGTCGGGGCACCCACCTGCCCCCCCGCCCCCGTGGTCATGCTGCTCCCCGGTGCCCTGCTCCCCCATCATGAGGCTGAGGCGCTGCGCTCCGCTGGCTTGTCTCCCTGCCCCGCGTGCAGCTGCTGGTCAGGATCCCGGTCTGGATCCGAGTCTCGTGGCCGGGGCCTCCTCCCAGCCTCGCGGCTCTCCACGCGTGGCCCGGGCAGCCTCAGCTAGAACCTTCCTCCACCGGCCATCCCTCCTCACCACCGGATCCCGGCCCAGCCTGCCGCGGCGGGTCACTCCCGGGCTTTCCCCGGGTCTAAGGGAAGGACACACACTTTCTCCAGAATTTGGAAACAGCGGCTCGGTGTTTCGTCCGGGTGTTCTGCTGACCTGGAGGTGGTTTTGGGTGGTGCCTCCCTGGGTCTCCCCTTTCCTGTCTGGGCCTCTGGACTGCTGAAGCTCCTCCCCCTGCCCAGCCAGAGGGCGCCCGCAGCCCCTCTGACAACTTACTGCTGCTCTTGCGGCCGAGACTCTTGCTTGTGTCTGTCCTTAGAAATCTAGCGTCACACCTTCCCCACGCTCAGGGCACCTCTTGGAGCTGGCCGCAGTCCCCGTCGCCTCTCCCTGTGGGCAACCGGCCCTGGGGCCCTGGGTTCAGGCGCCTCTTTCTGGCGGAGATGCAACCATCCTTCTCCAGTTTGCGGTCCTGGTGGCCACGGGGGACCGGGGCCTCTGCGGTGTCCTCACCAGCGTCCGCCACGTTAATTTCAGCCCTGGCCTGGGAGCGCTGCCGCAGGCCGGGGTGGGCCCGGGAGCGTGAGCGCCTGCGTGAGCGCTTTCCTGCAGCCGCGGTCATGATCACAGGGTGGGGTCACGCCTGGGCGTCAGGCTCCGTGGCCATCCCTGACCGTATCATCAGTTCTGGGTGCCAGACCGGTTTCCTGGGTGGCCTGCAAATGGGACGGTGCGAGTGACGTGGTTCTTGGAGCTCTAAAATCAACATGGTGATGTCTACGTCCGTCAGGGCCAGTGACCTTCCCCTCAGCGGAGGCCTTGCTGGTAGACATCGACGCTGGGTTCAGCCTGAGTGGCTGCGGGCCTTGGCCTTCCTGCACGCCCTGCTGCACTCTCGGCCTCGCTGCTCTGGGGTCCCGGGCTGGGTGGGGCCGCCAGCAGGGGAGGGGCAGGCTTCTGCCCTGCGGCTTTTAGGGCTTGGGCCAGGGAAGGGCTGCCGGCCAGGGGACGGGCGGGACAGTGTCCACTGTCCCCCGCCGAAACAGCTTGGTGGTTGTGGAGCTCCCGACTCGCAAGCATCCTACAAGGTTCAGCATTCACTCTCCTGGTTCTTCCCAGATTCTCCTTGGAGACACACTTGGGGGAGATGAAACTGGAGAATGTAGAAGACACTTCACTCCCGCGAGCACAGCGCGCGTGATCTCCACCTGCCTGCATCGTCCTCTCCGAACAGGTGGGTCCAGGCAGGGTGCTCGCCTGGACACCGGGTCCCCCCGCCGGGCCTTGGGGCGGGAGCACGTGCTCATTTCTGCCCCTCTGCAGGGGCCGCAGCGGGCCTGCCACGGAGGGTGTGGGCCTTTAGGACTCAGGTGACCTGGGGGCACGTCTTCAAACACATCCATCTGTGTGTTGGAATTCACGGTTATTTTATTTTATTTTATTTACTTATTTGACAGATCACAAGTAGGCAGAGCAGCAGGTGGAGAGAGAGGGATGCAGGCTCCCTGCTGAGCAGAGAGCCCGACGCGGGACTCGATCCCAGGACCCTGAGATCACAACCCGAGCCGAAGGCAGAGGCTTTAACCCACTGGGCCCCCCAGGCGCCCCTGGAATTCATGGTTTCTAAGTTACCAAGTGGTTGCTCGAACAAACGCTTTGCCTTAGACTTACCTCGGTGGTTCTCCTGCGACAGTGAAGTCTCTCCTCCAGCCTCGGGGCTGACGGGGAACCCGTCTCACAGAGGACTGTGTACCCAGGCCACCCTCACTCTGCTGTGCTCGGCTTCTGGGCACTTTGCGGTGACAGCGAGAGGGTTGGAATTCGTGTCCCTGGGAAGTTACACACCTTTGTGGTCAAGCTCATGAGATGGATTTGGACCAACTGGACCTGAACCCCAGAATCATCGCTGCGGTCAAGAAAGGTATGTCACTGATGTGTGGATCAGGCAGCTGGATGAGACGTGTGCAGGGTCGCATGCACAGGGCACACGAAACAAGTCCACAGGAGCGCCTGTCCACGTCCCCTTCCCCAAGACAGCCGGTCCTCATCAGAGACAGACGCTGGATGGAGCGCTGCGGGTTTTGAGTTGTGTGTGTGTGTTTCACTGAGGGCCTTTTTAAAGTTAATTTTATTTTCATCAAAGGAAATATATGTTTATTGTCTAAAAACTGAGAGGGAACTCCGCACACCACTTACGAGTCTATTACCGATTTCTTCTGTGTTTGCGTCCGGGTTTCTAAACGTGTGGTTATGTCGCTGTGCCCGGTTTGGCAGCGCCGGGATTACTCACAGGGTGTGTGTCACGTTGATGACGACTGGCTTGCTTGTGACCCTGCTTCTTCCACTCCTCCCCTCACAGCTGGAACAGTTTGGGCCATTACGGTTTTGACAGGGGACGGAACTGCTGCTGCTAACCTGGGAGGCTAAGACGGTTTCCTTTCTTGTACCATCTGTGTTATTTTCCCCCAAAGTTGTTCGTTGCCTCCTTCTTTCCAGTGCTGTTTTTGTGTCTGTCTTACTGACTTTGCCCTCATTGTCCGGTATGTCCCTCAAGCACCCGGCCCTCGTCCTTGAATGCTCGAAGGGCTGGACAGCTCACCCGTTCTGTTTGCGTCCTGGCGCACCCACCTGGCTACCCGGGGATCCCTTCCACCCCTGCCGTCCCCTGGGGCGTTCGCCGGGGAAGCCTCAGCATCAGGATGCTTGTTGGTCGTATCACACAGATGCCCAAGGACACGTGTGGGCTGGTGCAGCGCATGGGATGTCCTGCACGGGCGCGGCCTCCCGGTCCTGTTTCTTCATCCTTGGCTCCTGGTTTTCGCAGAGCCCCTGGGTGGTTTGGCTTTGCTTTTCCTCTCACGCGGTCCGTCCGTCTGTCTGAACTGCAGTGCCGGCGCACGCTTACCTACGGTAGTTCCCGATGGCGTGGGGTGAAGTCTGCTTTCTTATGCGGAGCTTTTTTTCCTGTTTCTCTTTGTGGTAGTTTCCCATTTTTGGCTTCTGGATCGGTTGGGTATATTTTCAGCATTTTTTTTTCTACTAGTTTGAAGTATTGTATTTATCCAAGCTCAAAACTCATTTATCCACTCTTCTGCCCAAATACCAGACCTTTTGGACACATTCACTCCGTAACACTCCCCACCCGGCTGTCGCCCGCTGGCATTGTAACCCTCACGGCTTCTTTGCTGTTTGTCCCACCGGCCATCCCGCCTTCCCCACCAGGCCGGTGGTCTGGTACCAGGGATGCGTGTTTGGAACCCGGCGCAGCTTTCCTTCCTGCGCCCCTTCCCTCACGCATGGTCCTCACCCTGCCCTGGGATCGTCCTCTGGCCTCCCCTTACCTGTGGGCCTGCCTGGCCACAGAAACCCCCTTTCTTGAGAAATGTTTCTGGGATAGGGAACTGGGTGGCAGCCACTGCTCTGGGCCCTCGGGAGAGGCCCCTCATCTCTGGCTCCTGCTGCTCCTGCTGTGACATGGGACCCCCCCGACCCCCTCCGTCTTCCTTGTTGTCATCACACTTTACCCAGGGGCTCCCAGAACCTCGGGGAGTGGATCGATGGGCCTGCCTGTCAGGTGCCCGGATTTGGAGGACAGTAGTCCTGAAACTTGCTGTGTTGCCTTGTATTAGTCTGAGCCCATCCTGTAATTTATTTGTATAACTTCAGCCAAATTGAAGTCGGCAAAGGAGGTTTTGCATTATTCCGGACCAGACCTGCAGAGACTGACCCGCCTGTCCAGCCTCGACGTGCAGCAGCTGCTGAGAACGGCCTCCTCATGCCTGCGCGGCTGCGGCGTCTTCACAGGTGGGCGCCGAGTGTCTGCTCTGCCCTGGTGCCTGGGGAGGACTGACTGCAGGGCCGGGTCACAGCGTCAGGGTGGGGACCTGTGAGGCGGACGGGGAGCCTTGGGGACCCTCGCTTCGGAGATTCAGCTCTGGGGCCAAAAGAGATGGGAGCCGGCGCAGGGTTGCGGGAAGCGGGGTGAGTGGGCAGTCAGAGCCCAGAGCCTACAGGTGCCCCAAGACACTGCCGCTAGAAGCTTCCCGGCCAGGACCACCTCCTCCCTGCCCGCCGGCACCCTGCCCCCACCCCCGATGTGACCGAGGTCACCTGTCCTCCCACCACGTGGTGCCTGACACCCCCCGCGGCCCCCCTGCGTTCCCAGCGCTGCATCTGTACCGGCAGAACCAGAGCTGCCCCGCGCGGTCCCAGCGCCTGAGCCTGGGCTGCCCCGTGCTCGACAGGCTTCTCCGCGGCGGCCTCCCCTCCGACGGCCTCACCGAGCTGGCCGGCCCCAGCTCCGCCGGGAAGACCCAGCTGGCCCTGCAGCTCTGCCTGACCGTGCAGCTCCCGCGGCGGCACGGCGGCCTGGAGTCCGGTGAGTGGCTGCCCCCCGCCGCCGAGGCGGGGGATGGAATCTGGGGGGGCCCTGCCCAGTAGCTCTCGGCGGGGGGCCACACTGCACTCCACGGAACCTGTGCCCGACGTGCCTCCGGGATCTTCCCAACTTCTGCCTTCCTCTTCACATCTGCTGTCAGTTCTGCCCCCTCCACCCACCAGGAGATTGGGGGCCCCAGGGCCACGGGCGCGGCGACCTGTCCACTCTGGGAGTGGCCGCTCACCTGTTCCCGCTCGCTGGTGGCCCGCAGGGCCGGCTCCGGCTGGGCACCGTCCCCTCGCAGGCTGCGGGCCTGGCCCGAGGCTTCCTGGGCCTTCGCTCACACGCTCGTACACACGCACGCACGCCACCAGCCTGCCAGCCATCTGGGCACAGAGGCGGAGACCCGGCCAGCCGTGTTTCGCTCCGCCACTTCCGGGGCAGGCGTGCGGGCCGCAGCCCAGGGTAGCTGGGGCTGGACCGGGCCCCTCGCGCTGCTCGCCGCGCGGGTGACATGTGCACAAGCGAGGCAGCAGGGGGACGTTTTCAGGCTGCCCGTGCTGGTCTCCCAAGCACTCAGAAGAATCTACATTGTTTTTACCAAGCGTGAGGTAACCAGAGTGCTCGTGACATGGCTGTCTCGCCGCCCACACTCCAGGGTCCCTCCCGGCCACACCACCGTGCTCCCCCTGCCGCCTGGACAGGCTGGGCCACGTGGTGGGCTGGGGACGCGGCCGGGGCCAGACCTCTGGCGCCGGGAACACACGCCGGTCCGTGTGGCTGTGGGCGCCCCCGTGGGGCACGGGCCACTCGGTCTGCAATCTCTCCCACGTCCCGTTAGCACCGTGAGCTGTGAGGGGCAGGGTACCCTGGCCACGGGCAGGGCTCTCCCGACCGTGTGGAGCGGCTGCTCCCACCAGAGCCGGGTGTTTGTGTGTCACTCTTGTCCTTACGTCTCTGGGTGAGGGCGCAGCCCAGGAGGGCCTAAGGGGCAGGCGTCTGGCACCGGTGCTGGGTAGATGCACTTGGCCTCGGAAGTGGGTCGTCCGTCTACGCCACAAAAGCGCTGCAGTGATTCCAGACTTGTGTCTGCTCAGAAACGAGCTGGGCGCCCTGATCCCTGTGCTCGCCAGCGTGTCCGCCGGGCCCAGTGGGGGGCTGCGCCCCAGACAGGCTGAGGGTGGAGGGCAGGGCTGGCCACGCAGTCTGGACCGCGGAGCTCTCCCAGCCTGGTCTCCTTCACTCCACGATGGTCTGCGCCATTCTGCCCTGGCGGGGTCCCTGCAGACCCATTTTCTCCCGGACGGGTCACGCAAGCAGTTACCGTTGGCGTCTGTGTCCAGGCTGGGTCCGTATCCGGTGCAGGCTGGGTTCGGGGTGTGGGAAGGGCACTGCAAGGGCGGGTCCCCAGAGCTGCACCCGTCCTGGCGCCAGAGCCCCAAAGATGTCCCGCAGCAGAGCCTGTGCCCCATTCCGAGACACGACAGGCCCGGCGTGGCCCCTCAGTGGCCTGCATGCTCGCTCCAAGCCCGGCCTGAGGCGGCCCTGCTGCTGGAGAAGCCTGCCTCGTCCACTGCTGTTCGGCGGGGCGGGGGGCGCGTCTCACTCCACCGCCACCACGCCACCCAGGAACTCTCGGTGACAGCCATGTCACATCACGTGGGCTGCCCTGGGGTTCAGAGGGCACGGAGCCCCCCACGTTGCCGGACAGAAGCAAGTGCGCCAAGAACCAAGAGGGGACGTGAGGCTGTGGGGAGCCGAGCTGCTGGGTGGCCGAGGCGGCTCTGGGGACATCCGTCTGATGCCAGGCCGTGGGCCGCCCACACGGGTGTCTCAGAGGGGCACGTCCCCCGAGGCAGCCCCGAGGTTACCAACATTACAGGTTGGGTCCAACATGCCCTTTTCCTGACAAAATAACTCCTTTAACCCAATGAGATCTGAAAGCCCTAATCTTGTGAAGGTGGCGAAGGTCCTCCAGACTTTGGAATCCTGCACTTCGTGGAGCCCCTCCCCCGCCGCCACCGTGTGCTGCGGCCACCCCAGAGACGCCATCGTGGCCTGTCGCAGGTGAGGGCGGCACAGCGAGGCCTTTCCCAGCCACACGCCCAGGCGGGTGAAAGGGCTTCGGGGCTGCACACAGACCTGGTTCTGCTTGGAACCTCCCGCCCAGTCCGCTCCCCGCGGACGGGCCAGCGCGCTCCCAGCTGCCGCGGGACAGCCAGCGTCGGGGCTCGGGCGCGTCTCCAGGCAGCGTTTCCGCTGAAGTACAGTCTGGATCGTGCCCAGAGAGGTTAAGGAGAGGCTGACGGTCAGGCGCTCGCTCCGGACAGACCGGATGGTTCTTGTCCCGCCACGCATCCGTCCGCAGGCCTGAGATTCTGCCGAAACACGGTTACATCGGAGTTAAAGGTCAGGCACACACGGGGCGCGTATGTGCTGTGCGTCCTCCGGCTCGTCTGGGCTCCCTGCCTGGGTCTGCAGGGACCGACGCAGGTGAGGGACACAAAGGTCCGCTCGGGATCCTGGGGGGTGCGGCCAGTGCTCCACCGGACACCGGCCATTTCGTGTCTTAAAAGTGGAGACGAGGTTCACGTGCCATAAAATTAAACGTACAACGCGGTGCTATTTAGTGCACGCAAACAGCCGTGCTTCCGTCACGACTGCCTGATTCTAGATCATTTCACGGGCCTCCCCGCTGCCCACTGGCAGCCCCAGCTCGGCTTCCTGCTCCAGGGACTCGCCGGTTCAGGACATCTCTTGGACGTGGACTCCTGTGTCGTGGTCTCCCCGGGCTCCCCTCGCCCGGCGCGATGTGTGTACGGTTCTGTCGGAACGTGTCATTCGCCGCGTGCCCGGGCTTCTGTGGCCACCGCTGCTCTGCGCACGGGCGTCCGCGGCTCTCGGGAGCACACGCACGCCCAGGAGCGTGCGGTCCCGTGCGAGTGTTGTGTCCGAGCAGGTGAGGGGCTGCTGGACGTGTCCCACCGACACACGGGACGTGGGGATTTGAGCCCCGGTCGCGGGCCGGTGGTGGCGTCCCCCGGTGGATCTGATTGGCATTTCCAGTGACCGGGACGTCTGGCCTCTGCCCGTGGACCCGCCGGCCCTCTGCACGGCTCCAGGGGAGAAAGGTCTGCTCAGGTCCTTGCCCGGTTTCCAATTCGGGGCGCGCTTTGTGGTGAGCGTGAGGCCTCCGCGCGCTGCGGCTGCTCGGGTCCTCCCGGGCGCAGCGTTTACAGCGTCGTCTTCTCCGGATGCGTCGTCCCTTCGCTTCCTTGACGGGACCGTGTTGCTCGGGTCCAGTTTCTGCCTTTGCTCTCCTGCGCTGTTGTGTCACATCCGAGAAGCCGGGGTCGCGGAGGCTTCCCCGTGTCATCTTCGGAGCCTGGGGCGTGTCGGCAGCCCCCGCGCAGGCCGAGAGGAGGGTCCGATCCCATCCTCCGGTGGCAGTGACCCAGCTGTCCCAGCGCCACTTGTGGGAGAGACCGTTCTTCCTGTCGTTGAACTGCCGGGGACCGTGGTTGAAAATCCGTTCCCACCAACGCTCGGGTTGACTTCGGACGGCCTCCGGTTCTTTCTCGTTGTGGTCTTGGGGTCCGCTCCCCGTGTGGGGATCCAGGCCCGGGCCGGGCTGCTGCCTCCGGGTGTCTGGGCTGTTGGGAGCACGGGGCGTGCTGTTTGCCGACCGGCTTTTCCGGTCACACACAGGCATGCTTGTCACCGTATGGCCCAGGATGGCGGGAGGAGCCCTGAGTGGGGCCTCAGAGCGAGCGTCCCCTTGTGTGCGGGGGGGGGGGGGGGGCATGGCCGAAAGGCCCCGCTGGCTTCCACTCGAGATAGGCCGGGGGCCCCGGGGGCGCATCCTGTCAGCAGGGGGCAGGGTGTCTGAGAGGAGGGGCCCTTTGCCTCCCCAGGGGCCGTGTACATCTGCACGGAAGACGTCTTCCCCGACCCGCGTCTGCAGCAGCTCATCGCTCAGCAGCGGCGCCTGCGGACTGACGTCCCAGGAGACGTGGTTGACAGGATGAAATTTGGCGACCATATCTTCATCGAGCACGTGGCCGACGTGGTGAGTGTCTCTCTGGCCCCAAGTTCCGAGGGGAAGTCAGTCCAGTGCGACAGCCGCACTCGAGAGCCGGGCCACCCCAGGTAGCTGTCAGCAGAGGCCCCTGCCACGGGCCACACGTGTAAGTCCACGTGACTGCGTACCCGAAATTCAGGTCAGACTGGGCGATCTGGAGGACTCGTCCCCCCACCCACAGGGAGCGGAGGAGGGCAGCCCATGAGCGAGGATGATCAGCACGCCACCTGCAGACCCTGACCCGCACTCCTGGCCACGGCGCTCCTTCCCCTTGAAAAGGCTGCAGCTGCAGGGGACCCCCTCCCACCGCCTCCTGCTCTCCGGCCACCCTGCGACACCCATGGCCAGCCGTCCCAGCCAAAGCAGTCTGTGTTGGGTTTTACTTCTGCCTCTGACCGAGCAGAAAGCCCCGTCAGGACACGGGAGCCCCTCAATCTGGCCAGGACCTAGCAGGCCCCCAGCTCCAACAAGCCCCTCGGATGGCTGACTGCCACCTGGCCACAGCACGGGTGTGGGGGGCAGATCTGGAAGCACCATGAAGAGACACACCCCTGCCTGTGGACAGATAAGAGTGCAGGAGTCCTCTGGGAGAGGGCTGAGGGCCAGGAGCTCAGGGCAGGTCCAGCAGGCAGGGAGAGCGGCTCTGGGGCCCGGCCGGCTTCCACGTGGCGCACTAGTTGGAGGAGGAATGGCCAGGAGTGGAAAGGATGGCGAGGAAAGGTGGGAAGACTAAACCAGCACACCCAGAAAGAGTAAGGCAGGCCTCCCCCCGCAGCCCGGCTTCCTGAGCGCACCGCTGCCCCGGACGTCCACTCGACTGGAGGGAGCCCCCAGATCCCAGTGGGCTTTCCCCCCATTTAAGGGTTGTTATAAAAATTGCAAAGAAAGGATAAGGCATATAAACTTTTAATTTTTAAAAAACTTACAATAAAGGATATCACACATAGCTTGGGGAAGTAACCCAGGACACTGTGGCCCACGGGGCCCACAGCTGCAGCCTCCTCCACGGGGGGTCAGGACACGGCTGGCCTGCGGGTCTCCCCAGAACCGCGGCCCAGGAGGGAGGCCGTGTCCACCCTGTCCTCCTGTAGGGGCCGAGTGTGGCCATGACTTTGCAAGCGGCGCGCACCCCGCCGAGCAGCGCGGTTATTAGTAGGACCGTGTGCGCCGGGGCACAGGGACACAGAAGACGAGGTTAGTGCTGCAGGCTCCCAGCTCCAAGGCCCTCCAGCCTCGATGGCTGTCCTCTGACCGTCACAGGGCCGGCTCTGGCCGCACACGAGCAGTGTGGTTCTGGGTCTCCCAGGCCGGATGTGGCTTTACTGCGAGAGGAGACCACAGTCAGGGCCAGGGCCACTGAGACCCATGGTGGTCTGAGCACGGTCCCGGAAACAGCTCAAGAGCAGGAAGCTCCCACCGTCTTGCCGTGTCGCCTGGCAGGGGCTGGTGGCGCTGGTAGGCCCTCCCTTGCTGTGGGGGACAGGCTGGGGCACCCGTGGGGACAGGAAGGGGGAACTCACATTACCGCCGGCGTCCTCGAGACCACTGCTGCTGCTGTCATTTTCCACAAAAAGAGGCTCTATTGGGGACACCCTAGAGACAGAAGCATAGAACGGGGTTTCACTCAGGGGTAGACTGCCAGTGTGTGGTCACCTGGCACCAGGCCCCGAATCCAAGCCAGCAGGGCAGGTGGCCCCAAAGGGACAGGCCTGAGGCCCCGGAGGATGGGCAGGGCTGGCGGGGGGCCTTCTGCACCTGCCCCCCTGCTTGGGCACAGCCCAGGGTCTTCCCAGTAGAGGCAGCCCCACCCCACTGTCTCCCTCCACTGGACAGGGAGCAGGGCTGCCCCCACACCTGCCTGACAGCAGTTAGGACCCCAGGACCGTGGTGGTCACGAGTCCACCTTCCGGTGGGGCTGCATCCAGGGTCAGTGCCTGGCATGGGGCCACGGGAGAAGGGCAAGTCACGGTGATGACCCCAGGGGCTGTCGACCCCACGGGGGACTTGACAAGTGGAAGGGGACGGACATGAGGGGTCCCTTGGCGCAGGGCAGAAAGGGAGACACGGGCGGCAAAGGCGGTGACACCATGTACCGTCGGCTTGCAGGACGCCCTGCTGGAGTGCGTGAGGAAGAAGGTGCCTGTGCTGCTGTCTCGGGGGATGGCCCGTTTGGTGGTCATCGACTCCGTGGCAGCCCCGTTCCGCTGTGAGTTTGACGGCGCGGCCTCGGTCCCCAGGGCCCGGCGTCTGCAGGCGCTGGGCGGTGCCCTGCGCTGGCTGAGCTGCACCTTCCGGAGCCCGGTGCTCTGCGTCAACCAGGTGGGTGCCCGGTCGGCACCCCGGACCGCAGACAGCCTCAGCCGATGGTTTAGGGGTGATGCGGGGTGGGGGGAAGCAGTGGGGTCTTTGCAGCAGTTGACCCCGGTCTGCACGTTCCAGGTGACAGAAGCCACAGAGGAGCAGGGCGCGGCACCCGGGCCACAGAGGTGAGTGGAGAGGCGCAGGAGGGCAGTGCAGAGGTGCGGGGTGGGGGACTGGGACCCCCACAGTTCTGTAAGTAACGACTGGGCCTGTCTTCCATCTCAGCCCCTGGGACGAGCGCATCTCCCCGGCTCTCGGAATGACCTGGTCCCACCAGCTCCTGATGAGGCTGATGGCGAGCCGACATCGCCTGGAGGACGGGCAGCGCACCGCGCCTGGCCGCCCGGACCGCACCCTGAGGGTGATCTTCGCCCCCCACCTGCCCCCCTCATCCTGCTCCTACACAGTCAACGCAGAGGGAGTGCGAGGGACTCCGGGGACCGAGTCCTGCTGACACGGCACCCATGGAGTGCATGGCCAGATCAGTGGCGGATGCCGGCCAAGCCCTCCCCGCTCTGCAGGCACAAGGGCCTGACGGAGACTCGGCATGCCCGTCGCCGGGTCTGGGTGGGCGACCTCCACCACGGCAGGGAGGCAGTGCACACGGAGGAGCCACCGGCGAGGCCTCCCCACGGTGGGCCCTGGACCCCTTCGCTGTGCACAGCTCGCTCTCTGCCAGGCTCTGGCCTAGGTAGTAAGTCCTCCCCACAGCTGCAGGTCCTCTCCACCGCCCCTGGGGTGGTCTCGGGGCCACTGAGGCACAGAACAGTGAAGTGACCTGGCCATCATCCCGCCCGGGCTAGTGCCGGGAGGACAGGCGTGCGCCTGACCCAGTACTGGAGGTGGAGGCAGAGGTCCCTGGAACTGGGCAGACTCTTTCTGTTTGGACGTTTTCTAGAGCAGAAACATTCATTTGTAATTTCTATCCCATTTTTAAAATTGTGGCCCTCAAAAGGTCAGGAATGGCTGGTATAAATAGGAAAAAGGCCTTTTAGGGTTGCAGTTTTATAAAAGAGCCTTTGTACAAGTGCAGGAACTTCACAGCAGGAAATAAACCACTTTATTTTTGTAATTAAATATAAACAATCCCAAATTATTTTCTAAGCAAATCACATGAACAGTGAGAAAACTACGATCGAAGACTGTAGGTACACGTGCCAGACAGGCCTCCCCCTGGGGGGCGCACACCACACACGCTCGTCAGTACTGGGGCCGCCTGCCCACCCATCCCAGAGGGCCGCCCCTGCAGTAGCACGTCTCTCCACGACACAGACGGCCCAGACCCCCAAAGAGTTCTGCGGCCGGGGCCCTGCACCGTCCCCTCCATCCCAGGCTTTCCTCAAGGCTCATCACACAGGCCTCGCAGACCTGGGGTCCCTCCCGGGGGTTCTCCCCCAGGACGATGGGGACAAATGTGGAATGGTGCACGTCTTTCTGCCTGCCCCAGGCACGCGCAGGATGCCGGTACGCCCTGACGAGACTCCCTCGGCTGACGGGAAGCTCCCCCTTGGTCGCTGCTTCACCGCACTCGAGTTCTCGGGACTTTGAGGACTACACGGTGCGGTGGTCAGCAGGAAGGGCAGATAGAAACATCTCAGCAATCAGCCTCATCTATGCAACGTGCCTCCAGAACCGTGAGGTTACAGTGATGGACGATACGTTCTGGGAGCCGTAAAGGATGTTCTGGAGCAATATTAGTATGTCACCATAAACGCTGAATTTCTCTTACATGGTATTTCTAGCAGCTTTCTGAACAAATGACGGGAAGTTTTTAATTCCAGGAAGTAACAGACTCCCCACGATACTGTAAACACAAGACGAGCGCCACAGGCTGCTGTGGGGAAGTTGGGAGGGTCAGGAGACCCAGGCCTCCCACTGCCTCCCCCGCCCTGACAGGCCGTGGAGGGGGCTCTGCAGACGGTGGCCAGCTCCTGTCTGTCCTCTGGCCGGGGGCTCGAACTGGACAGGAAGCACGTACAGTGGGTGCTGGCTGCCACTCTAAGGGTCCCCTCACCGGGAAAGGAAAACATTGTGGAGGAGGGGCAGCCACCCCCACTGCTGCCCTCTTCGAGAATGTTCGAATCCACAAAGTAGGGATACCCGGGCTCTTTCTGTTTTGATACAAGTTCAGAAATCAGACCTCACAGATTTCCAGGCAGCAACCCCAGAGACATGGAAGTTTCGATGACCTGGGTTTCGGGAGGCCGTCTGGCTTCTCTCACCCCGGCTGCGTTTCCTCACAGCCCCACAAGGCAATGTTGGCCCTCAGAGAACCAAGCCTCGGGGCTCCCAGGCGGGGAGGGTTCAACAAAGGCCCCCCTGCTGCCAGCGGGACGTTAAATCCTGTTCTCCGCCCCATGTTCTCCAGACACAAGCGTCGCTAAGGGAAACAGGTTCGGCTTCCAAGGCACCAGATCAGCTTCGTGGCCTGAGAAGAGCCCTTCGGACAGAGGGGACAGGGCAGCTCCCAGGGCCCTCCCCACTGGTCACCTCACGCCCCGGCAGCCCCTGCGCCTCAAAGGGAAGCGAGGACACGGCTCTGCTGTTCTCTTGGCTTGAGCATCTCACAACCCACCCCACGTGCAAACCAACCCTGGAGAGCACTCCCGGACCGCCAGAACCTGCAGCAACGGGACAGTCGGGCGCTGCGCAAAGGGGAGCGGCCGTGGAACCCCCAGCCAGACCCACGGGCACCTGCAGGCAGAGCCCTGAGCACCGGTCTCTGGGCAGGAACAGGCGCACAGCCACGTGCTCCTGTGGTCTTAAATGATGGGACGCTCCGCAAGTTCCCAGCCCGCAGCCCCCAAAGGACACGTGTAGACCGGGGGACCCCCAGGAAGACCCCTCACACGTACCCAGGCAAAGTGCAATTCAGGAGGAAGAGGTGGCTGGGGACAGGCAAAAGCACGTGTCCTGGCGGTGACACCACGTAACATTAAAGTCACGACCTGCAGCATGTCACCGGGAAGCACCACGTCTCCCAGATCCCCTCCCCTACAGGTTGCATCTCCCCGTTCCCGCCTGCTGGCCTGGACGTCCCCCTTCTCACCACCACTGCCATCTGCAGTCACAAACCCTGTCATCTGCTCAGAACGTTCTGAACCTACGAGGGAGCCTCACGCAGCCCCTCCCGGGGAGGGCTGCAGGGTGGACCGGGACACGTTCCCGTCAAAACCTACCCCGTGCTACTTAACTCTACAAAGAAAACCCTTTGAAAAATAAACCCACATCCCTGTGTGCTTGGCGCTCAGAGCGGCCGCACTGAAGGAGCGGGGCTCAGCCGAGACCCAAACCCACCGCGTCACCCATCTCTCCTGCTCCCAAACACCCATCTGAATCCCGGGGGCGCTGCCAGAGGCCATCAGATGCATAGTGTAGAAGGGTGCAGTGCGAGGTTCCAGAGCCTGAATTTACAGCCTTAATACAGTGTCAACATTTACAACCGATCCTGGTGTAGTGGCAGGGAGTACAAGTGTCCCGGGAGCAGCGGCTGGTTCCCAACGAGCTGCAGCCACCTGCCGGGGCCTCCGCGGGCCTCTGCGCCCGGCCGGTCTCACGCTCACACTTCGGCCCCTCTTGGTCGCTAGTAGCGCCGACAGCTTAACAGAATTCGGGGCAAACCTCCAAGAGGCGGCAGACAGCACTAGCTAGAAAAGGAAGCAACCCCGGAGTGGGGGGCCCCTGCTGAGTGGGTAGGGGCATGGCAACGCCCGCGGGCCTCGGTGCTTCGTTAGTCTCGGGGTTCTAGCTAGCTCTGCCTCGGCCCTCAGTGGGCCAGGTCAGTGTGGCTGGCACTCAGAGCTCGCGAGTCTGCCAGACAAGTATTTCGTTCCTGCGTGAAAAAACAAATGAAAAAATTACACTTCACCCGTACTCCAGAGGGCAAGGATGCCGGCGAAAGGGGTCTGAGCACTAACCATCACAGCAGGACACCTCCTAAGTCAGCACTCGGGCACTGTGACGCTCCCGGGCACAGGCCAGCACTGAGACATGAGCACGGGACTGCTGGGACAACCACACCTTCCGCTCTCGGGAGCAGGCGTGCTCCGGGCGCACGGCCCAGCGCTACCAGCACCTCACGTCTGCCCGGGGGCCTGGCAGAAAGCACCCTGGGAACAGCCAGCTCCTAAGGTGCTGGGGGCTGAGGAGGGAGGCCTGCGACCGCCAGCGAGTGTCCAAGAGGTAAGCCGCCGGACCGGGGCTGCTAAGAGGTGCAACGCCAGGAATTCTGGTCACCGGCGGACGAGCAGGAACCGCTCCGTCACAAGGCTCTCCCTGCCGCAAGTTCGGCTGCCGGTTCAACTGTCTGGTCCGCTCGGCACCCTTGGCCACACCCGGACAGTCACACGAGATGTTGAAAGAAATGGAACATCAGAATAGAAGAAGGGACCAACAGTTTCAAATGGGAAGGGGACGGTTCATGCAAGCCTTGGGACACCAGAAAAAGGGCCCAAGACTGGGTGTGAAGGTGACAGTATGTCAGTTACAACATTAGTAAAGGTCTAATAGTTTTAAAACACTGAACAGCAGCTTAACTGGACAATGAATTAGTTACAGACTTACCAGAGGCTAAAAATCATACAAATTAATAATACACATTAAGTGGCCAAGTTTTGATACTACTTTATCAGAATATTTAAATTTTAATTGGCTTAATCCAACCATTTAAAGATCGTGAGTATGTGGAGAACGCTCATGACACGCACATTCCCACAATTCACGTAATCAAACTAACACAGAGTCCGGAAATATCACTATGCCACCTCTCTAAGACCCAGAGACACTGAAGTGTCCCCAAGGCCGTCGGAGGTGGCAGTGGTGCCGGGAAGGGCCTGCGGCTGCCCAGCGAGCCTCGGCCAGGTAGTCAAGGGCACTGAGTGGGGCAGGGCTCCTTACTTGGAAATGGTCTTCAGCGGCCTTGCCACCCACGTTAAGGACATTCAGGGAACTGGCCCGCTTCATGCTGTGAACAGGGCAGTGGACATGCAAAAGGACAAACCAGCGCGTCAGTCAACTGAGAGCAGCAAACACAGCAGACACCCCTCCAAGGCCTCTGTCACCGTGCGGAGTCCCTGGAGCCATCCCTCATGGAGTGTGGGCCTTTATCTCACCGGGACTGGGGTGTCTGCCCAGTTCTTAACAGGGACGCCCCAGGGGTATCCGTATGTAAACTCCAGTAGAGAAAAAGCAGTTTCCCTGTGTCTGTCTCAGCGACGTACTGTCTGAAACACTGTGTGGAAACCCCACACGTGGTTACATGTCCCCCACGTGACACCTGGCTCGCGGAGGAGCCGAGCAGCTCTGCCCATCCAGCCCTCTGGCTAGGCCTGAGTCTGCAGGGCACGTCAGGTCAGTTTTAAGAAGGGAGCCTGGCGCTTCCCCCAAACTCACTGCTCGCCCTGTGACCATGTAAAAGACCTCTTGAAGCTCAGTGTTAAGATCTGATACATATCTATGTGCTCGTGCACTATGTTTTTATATTAAAAGGAAAAATTTTTTATTAGCCAAATAAACTCAGAAGCTAGGATTTCTCTGCTTTCAAACCAAAATTTGAAACAAATTTCATGGCTTTACCTTCAAGGAAATCTAGTCATTTAAATGTGTATTTACTTTTTTCTCCCACTTGACACCTTTAGAATACCTGATGGACCATCCTGCAAATCACCTACACCCTGAACGTGACGGGGGCCAGCCACGTTACCATCCTCGCCCACCGCCAGCAGCCACGCCCTCCAACAGAAAACCACCTTGGCTTTGAAAGATAAAAGAACGGATATCCAGGGTTCTTTCCAAACGTCCGCAACAGGAATACAACGGTGAAGCGACTTCGACACAAGCAGTGTGAGCATTTGCTCTGGGAGCTGACGCGCGGCGGTGAGGCTCGAGCGCACGTGAAGGGTCAGCACGACCAGACGCGTCAGTGCGCCGGGAATGGGCACGAGGGCCCAGGTCCCCACCCGAGTGGCCGCCAGCACCATGGGCACCGCGCCCGGCGAACGGCAGGTACTTACCACGTTCTCACTGAATGAGCTCCACCAAAAGCAAAGACCTTAATTCACTTAACCTCAAGTAAAATTCACTCCCAAACTCCCCGAGCCAGGACAAACACAAACACGACAACCCCACGAATTCTACGTCAGTGCAGCTAGATTCTGCACAAGCTTCCTCTACACAGCACTACTCAAGAACAAAGGAAAATTCAAACCAAATCACACTGGCGCACTTGCACACTCAATTCTTATTATTTAAGTGGCCAATGGACTTTTTCTAAGAGAGTTACAGAACCCTCCTCCTCACACTCTTTTCCTTACAAGACGCAAGTAAAGACAATTTGACCTTGCCGGCAAGTCTCCCCCTGGCACAGCGAGCTGCATCCACACCCCTCCCTTCCACCATGGTGGACAGAACAGGAAGAACACCGACTTGCGGGTTCTCAAAATGTGGTCTTGGACCAGCAGTGCTGGCATGAGCTGGGAACTTGCTAGAAAGGTCAGTGGTGTGAGGGGTGGGGGGTGCAGGCCCACCGCACCATAAACTGAAGGCTGGGGCCCCAGCGGTCTGTTCAGACCCCGCCGGAGATGCTGATGCTCAGGTCTGAGAGCCACTGGTCCAGTGAATACACAGTTACTCTTACCTGGACAGATGACTCAGTTTTATGCATTTTATGGGACAAAATTCCTAGAGCCGTTGATGTTTTCATCAAGTTCAGTGAGGGCCCACCTCCAATACTATGCGTGATGACGTGCGTGCACGCGCGTGGCCAGCCCCATGCCGGGGAGCACTCGCACGGCCACGTCACAGCCGAGACGGAAGGTGGCACAGGAGGGAGAGACAGAACTGAGCTCTGTCACGTGGGAAGGAAGGGCCATGTCACGGACTTAGTGCCAGAACTGGACGCTGCATTTAAAAAGCTCCAGAACATCCAGATCCGCCAAGGGCCACAGCGTGTCTGCCCTGGAGGAGCCAATCAATGGCGCACGGAGAGCACCGCGGGGACAGGTCACTTCCGCACATCAGATCCGGTCCAGGAACATACGCTACGCGACTGTTCGGATCCTTGTAACATGACCAAAAAACAAAAACAAAACAAAACAAAAATGGGGCAGAGAGTGACCTATCGTTTAGTTCTATAAGTATTTTAAAACAAGCACTTTATCCCAAAGGCAATTTCCTTTCCCGGACGCACATTCATCCATCGGGCGGCAGGCTCTGGCGCCGACAGCAGGACAGAACAACAAAAAAGGACAGGACAGCAGTCTGCTGCTCAGCCCCACATCCTTCCAGAAGCCCCGGCTGGCTTTCAACAGTGCCTCTCCCAGGTAGTTTCACAACAAACATGTGGCGCTCACAGACTCCCTCTTCAGAAACAGGCTTGGAAATGTCCTTGAGAAGCAGGGTGACAGCCACTAGTCAAATCAAATTCCTTGTCCTGCCACACACGCCATCAAAGAAATGTGTGTGTCCACCAGCAGAGACACCTGGGGGCACAGGGCGGACAGCGGACCTGGGCCTCTGCTCCCCAGCTGGGGGCTGAGCCTGCACGGCAGCACTGGGGGGCCCAGGGGTGCAGGAGGTAGGCCCTCACTGACGGAGACCAGAATGAGACGGGACGCCCCTCAAAATGACCCAGCAGGCAGCTGGAAGAGCCTGTCACCTCCGGTCTCTGACACGCTGTGCAAAGGGGCCCGGCCCCGCTTCCCAGCCCGGCAGCGGGAGACCCCTTGCCCACGGACGGGGAAGTGGAGTCACTTGGACAACAGAGTTTTACTCAGACTCCATCTTTAAAAAGGAGGCACCACTTAGGAATTCAGAGTCTCACAAAACAGCTGACAAAAGAGTGCCTCTGTGAGAAGCGCGTCCCGAACAAGATGCTGTTCACGCCAGAAATAACCCAGAAACCGGGGCAGACCGCTAGCACTCCGCTGCGCCTTGCAAAGAACAGAGTGCCTCCGAACCAAAGTCCTTTGACAACTTCAATGTTATTGTTCAAAAGACTCCAAGACTCATGAGTCCACGTCCTTTAAACAACACATGGAAAATCTGGGCTGTGGCTCTCAATTCCTAAAGGAACTCCTTCTACTCCAGTCCTCCCACTGAGCTCCTACTCAAAACCATTACTCTCCCTGCGTTAATGGCTGTGAGTCTCCTATAGTCGCAGCTACTGGTACGATTTTAAAAAGATCTTAAAAGCTACTTTTAAAGGATTTGCACTAACAGTGATTTAAAAAGAGAAGGAACAGCTACCGAGAGTAAACAAGTGAACGTGCTCAGTGTTTTCATACAAAGCTCCCACTGGTCGGGGCTACGGCTCTTCTGGACGCGCAGCAACAAAACCGCAGAACCGCACAGGCCGGGAAGCCCCGCCCTTCCAGCCTCTGCGCGGAAGCTTCGTGGCGCTTCTCTGCCAGCCCCAGAGGACACGGGAGCCGCTCCAGCCCCGGGGCGGGGACGCGAGGAGCAGCGGGGACACCACGCGGCGGGGCGGTCAGCAGGGGCTGCAGGGAGATAATTACCCGGGGTTCTTTGGGTCACTCTCTCGAGAGCTTCCTCCCTTCAGCTTCCTAACCAGCTTCTCACTGCTGCGTCTAATTGAAGCCCGGAGTTTGCTAAAGGAGCCACTGCGCTTTAAAGATCCCGTGCCGTCCTGAAAGAGACGTGAACACATGTGAGACTGCAGACGGCCCGTCCTGGCCTCCTGAGAGGCAAAGCTGAATGCAAACAAGAACTCACACCACGGCTGGCCTACTTGTCTGTGACCTGCTGGCAATACGGTTGCTATAGAAATTACGTTTGCCACGTCTGTAAATACACTTTAATAGAAATCTACCCACTTTAAATTTCAGTCAAGACAATCCGATGATCATGAAAACCTCTGACCATGAAGAAGTTCAAACAAAAAATAATATCCCCAAAAATCCTATCGCTGTTTCGGTGAAACAAAAGGTCACACATGGAAAAAGTCTTAAGAAAATTAAGGCTGCTTCTTGGGAGATCACCCAAATCAAATTCCACATTTAATAAAAACAGAAGCATCTGGTCCCCGTTTAACAGGACTGGACCCACACCAGTGAGGGCTGACAGAGACAGCTTTTTTTAACACTTTCGTGTACAGGCAGCACACTCAGGTGTACTGCTTCTTCCGTAAATTTCATCAGGTTTACTGAGGCGTGTACGCGTGCAGGATCTACACCCGATGTGGGGCTTGCCCTCACAGCCCCACAGATCAAAAGCCACACGCTCTTCCAACTGAGCCCGCCAGGTGCCCCTTTGGTACGTTTTTAAAAAAGTTTTATTAAATGTTGACTGTAAGTGTGGTTGGAAATTAAATAAAACAGTCATTCCATACAGTAACTGAACCCCCGACACCTTGTAGGAGGTGACCAGCTGGCATCATAAGTGGCCCAGGTACTCAGTGAAACATTTGGTGGTATCTGGGTATGAAAATCAAGAACCAGAGTTTGGAAAACTGTGTGTATGAGCAACTTTTATTCTCAGAATGAATCACTCAGATTAAGAGCAGCCCCGTTCCTTCAAGAAGCTACGCAGTGCCGCATTCCACGGAGAGAGTGAGACGTTCTACCGGGCAGACAGACACCAAGACACGGGTCAGTTGGAGTGAGTTTATTAGAAGTTAGAAAGACACAAATACACAAATCACTGAACACTTAAAGATTAGTGGAGAAAAGCAAAATTGCCAAAATGTCACAGAGACTACACAGCAAATGCTACTTGAGCGAGATCCTAAGGGGAGAGCCCGGGGCACGGGCAGCCCCGCTGGGTCTCAGAGGGCAACGGGAGCAGCACATGCCCTATTCCTACGGCCTAGCTAGTTCCATGGTCACTGTCATGCCACGGCATTAACACCTGCAGGAGACTTCTAACTACCTTTGATCAAAGGGAACGACTAATCGCTCTTAATTCTTAAACTCATGTATCACACAGTAAATGGTTTTTATTAACACAGTTGATACTACTAAGTACATATCTGGCAAAGCTACATGTATACAGAGATAAGGAACCCCCCAAAAAGGACAGCAGCACCGAAAGGAATGGCCAGTCACAGAGAGGTGGCGCTCTGACAAGAATCCTAGGGGATTGCTAAACACAGCAGTCAGCACTGGAGAGAGAAGGAAAGCTGGAGGAGGAGCCGCCCGTCATGCAGGAGACAGTGTGAGCATCACACGAGGCAGCTAGGCCTGTCAGACAGAAACGGAGAGAGAGAGCCCAGTGAGCCCGCTGTGAGAACAGAGCCAGCCCCCACGGCGCGCAGCGTGGCTTACAGTATTTCTAGGTCACAGATCTCGGCAGTGCTTCTCATCCCTCTAGTATCCGGGATCACCTTCCGCCTGCTTCTACCAGCCCAGTACCAAGAGGTCCTGGGCCGTCTGCTGCCTTTTACGACTAGGCACTCTTATCAAAGTAACACTCCGCGCCAGAGCGTGGATTAGCACTGTGCTAGCAATCTCCCGGATACTTACTATCACGAGGTCCAGGAACTGCACAGAAAGGAGATTCCATATTGAGAAACATCGACAGTGACCAAAAGATTAAGGCTGCACGTAAGAGGCCGTTCGTCAAACCTTTAACTTCATGAGGAATCCTTTCACACCCCTGAACTCCTGTGGAGTTCTGCCATCAGAGGGGACTTTTTCTTAAGAGCTCTAACCGGTTAGACAGTTAAAAAACTTGAAAAAACCAATGACTTTAGTCTTTAGCACATTTTAAACATGCAGTTGATAATCCAAAATAAGATTAATTCTAGAAAATGGATTTCCACAGGCAGCAGTGCACCGTCTAGCAGACCGGAACCCCAGTGGTCCCGGATGGAAGCCCCGGACAGCAGGGACCGAGCCCCCGCCCGCTCTGACTCACCATGGGACGCTCAGCAAATCATTTAACCAGCCCGAGCTTCATTTTTCTCATCTTTAAAATGGAAAAATAAGATTTGTTACCAACTCCCCGCAAATGCTGGGAGGACAAGAAAACATAAGTTCTTGCTGCTCTTTCAGAGAAAGAACATTCAACTGTTAATTCCACAAACAGTACAATTCTGCAGTTCATTTCAGAATCCATCGCTACACTACAGCAGTGCTCCTTATCCCTCTCCGGCCACTCTGCAGACTACAGGGGAGTGACCCGATTCCGGAAACACTTCATGTGGGACACACACAGGCTTCCCCGGCCCCATCCCTCGCCCTGCAGCAGGTGCACAGGAGCTGGGCTCCAGAGGCAGCACCTGACTGGGGAAGGCGGGGGGAGCAGGCTGCCCACCCCCCTCCTCGCACTCACCCTCCAGAACCAGTGGGAGCAACAGCAGAACCCACCCCAAACCCCACCCCAAACCCGGGTGGATTTCTATTCAGTAAAAGCTGGAGAGTTGGGAGGTCTCCCACATTCTAACTCTTTCAAAAACAGTCTACTTCTCTATATTGCCAGGAAAGAATACTTAACATCAAAGAAGTGGGTTTCTGAACAGAAATGAACACTGTAGCGTATAAGCTAAGAAACAAAGGGCAGGGGCGCCTGGGTGGCTCAGTGGGTTAAAGACTCTGCCTTCAGCTCGGGTCATGATCCCAGGGTCCTGGGATCGAGCCCCGCATCGGGCTCTCTGCTGGGCAGGGAGCCTGCTTCCTCCTCTCTCTCTGCCTGCATCTCTGCCTACTTGTGATCTCTGTGTGTCAGATAAATAAATAAAAAGTCTTTAAAAAAAAAAAAAAGGAACGAAAGGCAGTAATTCTTTGTTCTTTTTCTTTGTTATACTCTTGTTGTCTTCCTAATACAATTTTTTAAAAGATTTTATTTAGTAAAAGAAAAGATTTTATTTATTTGACAGAGATCACAAGCAGAGGCAGAGAGGCAGGCAGAGGGAGAAGCCGGCTCCCCATTGAGTAGGGAGCCCGATGCAGGGCTGGATCCCAGGCCCGGGGATCACGACCCCTGCCAAAGGCAGACACTCAACCGACTGATGCTTAGGATGGCGCCCCTTCCTAATACAGCTTTTAAAACTAACTCCATTTCTAATTAACAGTCTGTACTATCCCATTCCTCAGTCATCTTGGGCACGAGTTCAGTATCTTTGGGAAAACAAGCACTCCCATGGGTGCAGGAGGGGTGGGCTCCTCCAGAAGGGCCCTGCTGGGAACTGGCAAGTCAGAAACAGGACAGAGTAGAGAAGACGGAATGGAGGATGTGATGCTTCCTGGGGCCCTAGTGGGACAGCTGCGTAATGGCACAGCGCGGGAATCCCACGCATTCGAGGGGCCCAGACTCCAGGGACGTGGCCAGAGCCCTCAGAGGGGACGGCAGCCATGTGCACAGCGGGTAAAGTAAAGGGAATCCAATCTGGCCAAACAGGATTCCTGTGCACAAATTTGCATATTTAATGGGACCAGAAGAGAGAACTCAGACTTACCCTGACAATGACTTTCAGCTGTGTACTTTATACAAAAATAAGCGTGAGGAAGTTACATTTTCCAGTCCTTTAATCACCATCTTAATGGTATGTACTTAACAGAACTGCACTTCCCTAAAAACTTGATCCAGAAATTTCATATGAATGATTATGTATATTCGGTAACCTTACTTTTCCGGTATTTAACAGCACGGAATTCTGTGCGGATCCGGACTCCTGGCCGCTGCAGGGCACAATCAGAACCCAGACTGCCCGACCTCGGCCCGCACTGCCCTCTGATTTTCATGCTACTTCTGAATGCTGGGACCAACCACACTCCCTCACATACACGGGCTCCTGCACATGGCTACGCCAACAGAATGGGACTGCCGTCCGCCCCGCCGCAGGAGCACCTGCCCCACACGGCGACACAAGGCTTCTCCCTGCGATAGCAGTTAACTTTTTAAAGGGCACCGAAATCCTTCTTTAAAAACCTAAAATTGGGGCGCCTGGGTGGCTCAGTCAGTTAAGCATCTGCCTTCGGCTCAGGTCATAATCCCAAAGTCCTGGGATCGAGCCCCAAGTTAGGCTCTCTGCTCAGTGGGAGCCTGCTGCTCCCCCTGCTTGTACTCTCACTCTCTAATAAATAAAAACCTAAAATCTAGTGAACTCCAATATAAGATACAATCTAGGTGGCACTTTCTCACTGTAAGTGTGTGACAAGTTCCTAGAATAACATGCACCAGTGAGAACCGTGAAGCCACCTTTAGAGAACACCAGGTTGAAATACGAAATTACAGAAGATGGGTCTAGCCTCAGCACCTAAACTCCCAGTTTGTTCCCAGTTGGTCTGGACAGCCCGGCACCCAAATCGTGCACAGGTAAACGATGCGGGTGGCAGCTGCTCTCAACCACGTGCCTCGTCACCACAGGGAACGCCTTATTCCCACTCTGAGGGCCTGAATCGCTCAGTCTCACACCGGGGCAAAGCCTGACATGGGGCGCAGTGCAGACATCTGGACTGAAGGCGACATCCACACGGGGCTCCTTCAGCTGCAGACACCTGCACCTCCGTCAGGCGGACTTGAAAAAAGTCCTGGTGTGCATACTGCCTGTATTGCCTCTTCTTAAACCATCACAGTACGCTCTGAAAATGGAAGTCCGGCCTGAAGTCGGGAGAGCTCAGCACCACCTCCTCAGAACCAGCGAGCCGGGCCTTCCCGCAAAGGCTGGGCTGGGCCGGGTCTGAGCAGGGGCCGCAGGGGCCGGCGGTGAGCACAGCAGCCCAGGCGCTACCCCCGGGCAGTTCCAGAGTCGCCTGCTGCTTGATCTCAGACTCTCTGAGAAGAAAGGGCCCCTTCTGCGGCTCAAGGAAAGTCCGGAACACTGTACGGGATGACCTAAGATCTGGGATCTACGTTTTTTCATCCCGTGGACCACCGCCACCCACCGATAAGCCCTGCGATGGCCTCTGGAGAAGACGCAGAGCCTCTAGTGTCCAAGAGTCAAGTAAAAAGGTGCCCACACCCCTGTGTGAGTGTGCTAAGTGAGCATGTCCAAAGCGAGACAGAAAATGTGAAATGGAAGGAGGGCCAAGAATGCACTCAGAGGAGAGACGGCTTTTGCCCTCTGCACCCGTGATTCCGGCAGTAGGCCCCACAGGAAGCCCACAGGAAGCCGCCTATCAGCCCTGCACACTGGGCGGAAACCAGCTCTGCCTCACCCGAGTCTCAGCCTTGAAGACGGTAACAGAACTCTGCAATGTAAATTATTTTACGGGACTGCACGACAGGATTGACCTAGAAATACTGTCTCAAGAAAAAGTTCCTCCAGAACTTCATTCAAGAGAACCAAAACCTGCAGCCTGGCGTCTACAGACCAGGGAAGGGATGTGACCCTCTACGCGAGGCACGCAGGGCGACAGGAATCACAGGGGCAGTACAGTACACAGTGTGGCCAGACGCAGGAGAGGAGGCCCGGCCACCGTCGCTGATGTGTTAGACTACTGCCCGCTGGGGGGAATACAAGAGCAGATGCTGATTGGTTGTCTTGGCACGGGAAACACCGAGCAAGCCGGCCGCCAGATAAAGACCGTCAAAAAGACGCCCTCCCTGAAATTTTGGCCTCTGTTATTGTGTAGAAAATGTTGTATCCTCACCAAACCACTCCAGCTACAGAAAATCCCCCAAATAAATACATTCAAAAAGATAAGAGTATAAGAAAGCCCAAGATTACTATTTGGCAAAACATCTGCAAAATTACCTAATCGAACTGCACCTACTGCAACTTCAAAGAAAAATAATACAACATTTTGATGGGGCACCTAATCCTGCATTCAACTCTCCCTGGTAAAAGCAAAATTCCAAAGACACCAGCTCAACATACAAAAGCGTTGCCCCGTGTGACCAACATTTGCTAGAAACAATGTCCGGGAGGCCACACACTCTTTGGCGACCACTGGGGAAACAGCAGTGGCGAGAACCTCCACAAGGGCAAACGAGCGAAACCCAGAGGCAGAGCCTGGCCAGGAGCGACATGTTCCAAACCCGGGCACGTGTTCTGGATCCGAAACCTCCGGCAGAGGGCTGTGCGGAGAGATGAGCCACGGGACCCTCAGCGGGAACACGGTGGTCAGCACCGAGGGGGGCCGTGAAGAGCGGCCGCCCCAAGCGCTCTCATCTGGAGGCCCGCTCTGTTTGAAATATGACTTCCCCTTAAGGAATTTAAAGTAATTCTCACAAATCTACAGCAGCCTGGTCAGTGACATTAGGCGCACTGGGTTAGCAATGAAAATGGGTAAGTGAAAAAAGCAAATTAGTTTTCTGCCACGTTAATCCTAACATTAAAATAAAACCAGGTTACGGATTATGGCTCATGGCTCTAAGTAACCAGGACACTCAATCAGCATTTCAGTGCTCAAAGTGAGGCCAAACAGCTTTCATGGGTCCCTACAGAGAAGAAAATGAGCACTTCAAACAAGTAGCAGACTCCGTTATTAGCAGAAGGTAAGCACTTACAAAAAGCTTAATTCATACTTAATTTGAGAAAAGGACAGTGTCTAGCACGTGAGCCAGAGGAAACGGCAGGACAGCAGTCCTGCTGGGCACCGGGGCCAGGCGGCCTCCCGGCGACAAAGCGGCGCCCGCCTGAGCACGCCGGCGGCTGTGTACTGTACTTACCCCGTTCCACTCTACGCTCATACTCACTTCCTCCCCTCCGTCAGGGCCGCTCTCGTACTTGACCACGTCCACGTTCAGACTCTCCCGGCTTCTCCGCTTCTCCATGTTCTCAGGGTCATTCAGCACTTCGGCTACTCTCTGTTTGTGAACATTGTCAAGACCCTGTGAGCCAGGCAAGGGGAGAAGGGTTGGAGCCGTTAGAAGGAAGCTTGACGAAGGACTTCTAGGACAGCTGAGCTTCTCCCGGGGAAGAAACACCCAGAAACAGCACTTAAACACAGAAGAGTGATTCTCAGAAATATACACTTAAAGACATCTCACTCTTCATAGAGCTTGCCTCAAATTTAAAAAAACAGCAAATACTGGGCCCCCGTGAGCGATCTGCACACGTAAGTATTCACAAGGAAACGCTGTGCCCAGATCAGGCCCGGTGGACAGAGCAGTGGGGGTGTCGTGCCCGAGAGCAACGAACATCCACGACAGGATCGGGGAGGCAGGCGTGCGAGCGTGCAATTCCCTCCACTTCTCTGCTCGCCAAGCCTCACGGCAGGATGCTGGGAAACACCCCCACTAGGGAGTGAGGAGAGCAGCAAGCCCTCGCCTCGTTTCGGCAGGGAGGGCCCCGCGCACACGAACATGGCCGAGACTGTTCTCCGCGCGCATTTCAGTTCGAAAGACCCAGACGCGACACGTTCCCTCTTCTAAATGGGATTTTAACCCCAGCAGCTCCTGCAAATGTGACACCTGTACCGACTTTCAGAGTTTCCTCCCCAACAGGCACACACCTCAAGCAGACGCCGTGCCGCTGGGACTCTGACAGTAAGGCAGACCGTGGCCCCTCAGCCGACAGGAGGGCATCATTCCAGTAAAGCACGGCCAACCCCTTCCTTTAAATTCCTGCAACTCCTGGCCCCAGACTTGGCTCATCGGATACACACTATCCCGGCACTTGAGAACGAAGCCCGGATTACTGGCAAGACTCCTGAAGATGAGCGGTGGGCACACCCTCGGGCCAGGCTGAGCACCAGGACGGCCTACGCCACCCGGCTTCCCCGGCACTGCCCGCACACAGCAGGCCCCCAGGAGGCTGCCGACGCCACAGGGCGCTCTCCCCCACGCAGCCCTCTAGAGCCAGAGGACCCCCGAAGGGTGACAGACCTGAAGAAAGGGGCACGGGCGGGAGACAGCATTGCTACCGGGTCTGCCCTCATCACTCTGCACAGATTCTTTTGAAAGAAAAGAGCTCTCGGGCATATATGGGCTATTTTAATCTCAGACAAAAAGTGCCCATAAACACACACACAATGACCGACACACATACCACGGAGGAAGGGGGAAAACTCACACCTGCCTCTCCGATCCTCCAGAGAGAAACCGAAACCGAAAAGAAACCCCCTTTAGGTAGTCTTGCCTGCTGGCACGCGCACGCGCGCAGAGTAGTGCTTTCCCTCGTCACCTGGCAGCCTCCCCGCTACGGGGCAGCAAGCACGCCGTTCCCGAGCTTCCACAGACGGCATCTCAGCCCAAGTCCGACCTCGCAGCGGACCGCTGAGTGTGCAGTGACCGCACCAGCCCACGACAGCCCACCGGCGGCGCACGGAGGCTCCCGCCGCTCCGTCCTGCCCCACACCTGCTACTTCCTGTCTGCTCTGGACTCGCGCCGTCCCCACCTCAGCGGCTGTGAAGTGGTCGGATCTGCACGTCCCTGCTGACGAGGGACGCGGAGCATCTCTTCACACGCGTGTGGGCATTCGTGTGCCGTCAGCAGAGAAACGTCTATCCAGCTCCGTCGCTCATTTCTGAACTAGGAGATCCTTCTATCTCTACACATTCTGGGTACTAGGTCCTCATCAGATGTGATCTGCAAACACTCCCACCCATTTCTGTGGGGGTCTTCACCTTCCTGCGTCCTAAGTGCGCCAACATTTCTAACTCGTGCTGGTGAATCTAACTGACCGGGTCTTTCTTCTGCGGCTTGTGCTTTTGGCGTCACAGTCACGCCTCTTAAACGATGTAACTTTCCTTGCGCAAACTAAAACATTTTCTGTTTCTAAATCGAGCTTCTGACTAGTCATATAGAAGAGAGTCATTACCCTCGAAGGCCCAACAGGTGAGTTCAAAACAGAAGCAGGTCACTGACCTGTTTACGGGACCTCATGGCGGCTTCTTCCAATGTCTCTGCAGCCTCAAACTTGCCTTGACGTCTGTAAAGTGCCCCAAGGTTTTTCAAAGTAGTTGTAACAGTTGGACTGGAAGAAAGCGTAAGACACACAGACTTATTAAATACAAGTTTTAGAACTACTATTAACCGCACAAAATCTAAAGCACTAACAAACGTGGTTTGTGAGAAGTATTTTTTAAATTTCTACAGTACTTTTTTAAATTATAAAATTCCATTAAGTTCTTTTTTTTTTTTTTTTTAAGCAGGCTCCACGCCCAGCATGAAGCTCAACTCGGGACTTGAACTCAAGACCCTGAGATCAAGAGCTGAGCTGAGATAAAGAGTTGGATACTTAACTAACTGAGCCACCCAGGCGTCCCTCTGAAAAGTTCTTCTTTCCCAAAGGACCACCTGCCTACTTTTCAGCAGGGGGGCTGCCCCCGACACTCCTGCGGAGCCCTCTGCAGGACCAGGGCCCGCTGTGCTGAGCCCCGCAGCTAGCACGACATGCTCGTGTGCTCTTTGCAGGCCACAGACGCTCTCACCATCCGCCAGCCCCTGTCAACAGAAGCGTGTGTGCTGGGTCTGAGGACCATCGTGCCTGCCCCGAGCAGAGCTGCTCTCTCGCTGGGCAGTAAAGAGGACGCGGCGTTTGATGCTGCTCTACACCTCCCCTTGTCCACAAGCAGAGGGGAGGCAGAGCAAGCGCAAAGGGCCGGAGGCAGGCGAGGGCCGCACATGTGAAGAGCGAACAGTGTGCATGGGGACGGGCACTGCTACACTCCTCACAGCAATCTTAGAAAAAGGTAGAAATAAACCTAAAAATACACCTAGGTGCTTTTCGTATACATGCGTCCTTCCACAGTTCTCTTTTCTTGTTCATGACAAGCGCTTACGGCACAGAAATAAAGAAGCTATACCCCAGGTCTCTGAAACATTTACGTAGCAATGGAAAACACAAAGACTATAAATTTCGGATCTTGTGCTAAGTGCTATGGGGAACCCAGAAGAGGGTTCAGAGAACTTTCCGGGAACAGATGACCGGTAGACTGGTCTTCTAGGGGAAGTTACAGTTATGAGAGGGAAAAGTCTGCCAGGAAGGTGTTCAAGTCGGGAGACGAAACAGAGGTGCGGGCAGCGTAGGCTCACAGGGCAGCAGGGGAGGGTCTCACACTGCCCCCTGCAGCCGCACAGTCCCCAGAGGTGCCAAGGGCTGCGAGGAGAGGAGTGGGGGTCTGCCGCGTGCCAGACACGTGACTGCAGAGTCCTGCCGTCTCCAGAGTCTGCTCCAAGGCCACCCTGCATACTGGCTTCCTACTTCGTTACCTCCTCCTCCTGTGCTTTGGCAGCTGGCCTCGGGCAGAGCCGTGGTACTGGACAGAAGCCGAATTTCACCAACATTGCAGTGAGTTGTGTGTAGGTACATGACCTCATTACGAAGTTACGGGTTTCCTGACTGGAATCTGGGAACAACGTGGGAGACTGTGCACACGAACCACCTGAAGGAACTTTCCATGTTCAGTCATTAACAAGGTGATCTTAAAGCACGAGCACCTTCCAGGACAGTTCTGTTTCTTCAGTCCAAAGGACGTACCTATTGGGGCACCTGGGTGGCTCAGTCGGCTGAGCGTCCAACTCTTGATTTCAGCTCAAGTCATGATCTCAGCGTCGTGAGATCGAGCCCTGTGGTAGGCTCTGCGCTCAGCATGGAGTCTGTTTGTCCTTCCCTCCTTGTCTGCCCCTCCCCCTGCTCACTTGCTTGCTCTTGCTCTATCTAATCTAAAATATATAAAATTTTATTATTTTTTATTTTTCAGATTTTACTTCTTTGAGAGAGAGAGCCTAAGAAGGGGGAGGGTCAGAGAGAGAAGCAGACTCCCTGCCGAGCAGGGTCTCTCGGCTCCAGGATCATGACTTGAGCTGAAGGTAGTTGCTTTACCAACTGAGCCACCCAGGCGCCCCACAAAGTGAATAAAATTTTTTATAAAGAAAAAAAAGACATACCTATCAACTTTGCAGGCTTTGTACCAGCCGCCATACTCTCCAAAAGATGTCCCGTCCTTTTGCTTTCCCTAAATCGTAACAAATGAATATTTACCTTAAAAACAATATAACCAATTTAGAAAACCTCTCAAAATAGTATATTCTTACTTTGCATTCTTCTCTTTCTTCAGCGTGCATCCAAATGGGTTTGTTTTCATCTAGGGGAGAAAAAACACCGTACTATGAAAGTGCGGCACGACAGAGCCCACGGGCAGAGGCTGCCGAGTTTCAGCGACTGCCAAGTTCTCGTTTCTCACGTGAGCCTCCTTAGGCGTTCGTTTTTGGGACCCGGACAGAGGAGTTCACGGTGGGCCTACGAGGGCGGAAGAGACAAGCAGACGGCTGTCCACGTGCGGCGCCCTGGACACACGCGTAGACACAATCCCGTGTACCCACGCAGGGCAGGCAGCTGTCAAACAAGTGGACAAATACGCCGGGGCCCCTAAAATGCTCACACACCGCTGGGGCTACTCCGAACCCCCGAATGCCAGCATTAAACAGGGGCAAAGAGAAGGTAAGACGCTGGGAGCAGAGTGGAGGAAGATACTGATCAATGTTCTCCTAAAGTCGCCTTAACTTCCGAGAACCTTAACCATGACACTCCGTAAGTTTCTACACGACCCGCAGCGTGCCCACACCACGGAGCACAAGCAAGCTCAAAGTGAAGTTTCTGACAAATTTTCCTGATAGGGAAAATGCCTGAGGTGCAAGTATGAAGAAGGTAAGTAAACATGACTGTAAGTGAAGTATGGCTTAAGCACGTAAATCAACCAGCACAGAAAGACAGACACTACAAATGTTAGGTGTATCTGGGTGCTGGAATCATGGGTGACTTTCACGTGCCATCTCTGCGTGACCTTTCAAGGATTCCTGCCACAGGCACCGATCTCAAGTTCCAGAGGAAGAAACCAGTGCTCACACCGTCCTCACTGACGACCAGACCTCGGACAAGCCACTTCGGCTACCACGTCCTCGCTCCTGAAATTCACCGGACTGTTCGGAAGAGTGAACACACACACACTGAGACTGCCTCCTGGGAAGACCAGTCCACGGCTCCTCGTGTGATCAGGACTCGCCACGTCACAGGAGAAAGCTGAAACCCGATTCCAATACCAGCTGTAGGAGAGCGAACGGTATCTGAGGCCTACGAACAGCACGGGGCGCAGTGGGAGCTATCGAGCGACGCGAACCGCTACGGCCAGCCCGCAGCAAGCTAAGGGCCACGGGCGGGGACCCCAAGAGTGACGCCGGTGCACGGGCGCGCCATGACCAGCAGGCCCGGGAGCCTGAAGGGCACCCTAGACGGCAACAGGACACATCTGCACCTTGTGTCTTGCATGGGACATCTGTACGGAGGGCAAACACGGGAAAGCCGCTTTCACTAGAACTCAACCGGACTCTATGCTTCTGTTGTTAGAAAAGAAGCCAGCAAATCTTATGGAAACAAGTATCCCCCAAGAACAGAGCTTTTTTTAAAAGGCATCAAGGAAATGCCCTGGAATCACTACACAATGCACCGGCCTCTGCAGCTGGGGGCAGGCTGTTGCCCCCGCCCACGACTCCCGCGCTGAGCCCGTGGCCTCCTGTGCGCGGAGAGTAAAAAGGACCTACTGTTCCACTTAACGAAGGAGGGAAAAAAACTAATACACTCCAAAGACTTTTCCCAAGTGGTTTCTAGAAACTCTCTACAAACAAAAACATTTATTAAGCAAAACCGCTTTCCCTGTGCAGCCTCAGGTTTCCTGCACACCAGTAACACACTCCTCATTCCCAACGCCTTATGGAACACCTGACGCAGGGGGGAAATGCCTTACTTAACACACAAATAAAACTGTTGCATTAAACATTTTAAATCTTTTAAAATATTTATCCCAAAACCGTATATTAAGTACCCAGAGCACTTTAAGGAATATGGAGGCAGGCCTTGGCTCTTTTAGACAGTCAAATAACCCAGCAGGCCTGGGATGGGGTCAACCGTTTGCATTTCCAACAGGTCCCACGTGGTGCTGATGCTACTGTCCCTGCTGGCACTGGGAGAACCAGGATAACAGTAAATCCACAGAGCACCGATGCCTCCGGAGAGGTTTTCTGGGGTTAGTGCTATGAGTTGTGCAAGAGCAAAGCCTGGACTCCGGAGAGGGCAACGCAGAAAGACGGGGGGCAGCTGGCCCATCACCCCTGACCACAAGGCACGTGACCCACTGAGTACCTGGTGACCACGCGTGTTCACTGGATGGCAGGAGAACGAATGAATGAGCCCATGACACTCAGACTGTGTCACATCCTCTCCTCTAGGTGCTATCGGCAAAATCATTTCTAAAATTCAATTAAATTCTACCTTGAAAATGAGACGATGACTTGGGTATTACCGAGTTCCAGCTGGGAATCACCATTTTTAATGCACACGAAAAACCGTGTCTGCTCAGAAGCGAAAGCAGGGTCCTTACCATCTACAGAGCCAAACTCCCTTTCGTGTGCACGAGTGAGAATCTCTTTGTACAGTGTTTCTGCTTGCTTGAATTTTCCTTGCTTCAGATAGCAGGATGCCTTAAAAAATAAAATAAAGTACTTAGTAACTTCATATGTAGAGAAGACACATTCCTGTCTACAGGTTAAGTGACACAAAGCTCAGAGGTCAAAAGGGCAGCATTGGGGCTCTACCTACAGAGTGCACTTCTGTCCACATACCAGGTTATTTTTTGTTTTGGCCACATTGGGGTCATCAGGCCCCAGTTTTGTTTGGTAGATCTCAAGGGCTCTTTGATAATAATATTCTACTTCCTCGTACTTGCCCTGATTCTGGCACAGTAAGGCCAAGTTATTTAACTGCTTGGCAACGTCGGGGTGATCCTTTCCCAAAACCTGTGAAGAAAAAAGAGTATATTAGAAGCATCGATTTTAGTGCCATCCAGTCCGTTCTCCACCCACTACGAGAGGGGTCCTTTCTCAACACAACCGTGGCTGTGCCCACCGTCCAGGCCCACAGTCCCGCACTATACACAAGGAAAAAAAACCAGATGGGCGCCTGGGTGGCTCAGTAATTAAGCGGCTGCCTTCAGCTCAGGTCATGATCCCAAGGTCTTGGGATGGAGTCCCATATTGGGCTCCCTGCTCGGTGGGGAGCCTGCTTCTCCCTCTGCCTCTGCCCGTTTCCTCTACTTGGGCTCTCTTTCAAATAAATGAATAAAATCTTAAAAAAAAAAAAAAAAAGAAAGAAAGAAAAACAGCCAGAACTCATACTCTTGTTGGGTAAAAAGAGACTGTACTGATTTCCCTACACACTCTCAACCTTTCATCCTTACAGTAACCCCACACGGGGGCTGGCACAGGTGCCATTAGAACTCATGGCCTGAAACTAGGAAATGGCTGTATAAAAATTCTATCGATATGACGCCCAAGTTCTGGAAGAGCCCTTTCTGACCCGAGCTATGGCACCAGACTCTCTCCTATGCATGCAAACCTTCGAAGGGAATCTCCAGCTCTCGAATTCAGCCTACATATCCCTTCCCACTAAGACCTGAAGGTCCTCTGCACCCACCCCAAACCACAGCCCTTATATTTCAAACTCCACCTTCAGGGCTCCTGGAGCTCCCATCCCACATGCCTGGTGCCCTTCTCCCAGGTCCCCCAGCTATACCCCCCACTAACTGCTCAACCCTCAGAGGGGACACCTCCTTCCATCCAGTTCAAGGGAGCCTCAGCCCGTCTCTACCTGGGTTAACTCACGGGCACCCTGGTTGTTCTTTCTTTGCAAGTATCACCACCCAAAACTATCTTATTTCCCTGTGTGGTATGGCTTTGCCCAGTGTGTGTAATGCGAGCCACAACAGTACAAATTCTATCTCCTACACCAGCATAACCCCAGTACCTAGAAGAGTGCTGACTCACAGATGAATAAATATTAAACCACCTCCCTACTACCTTGAAAAACCATTCATTCTCTCAACCTCGTGCCCTCACTGATGTCCCCAGTGCAGCATGCCGCCTGCCCATCGCTCTCTGCATGCCCTTCCCCTCCCTGCCGGGGGGACTTACAGAAGACCCAGTTCCAACACTCAGCACTTGTGGGAAGCCGTCCCCGGTGCACCCGCACACCTGGGCTTGCAGGAGTCCCTGCTCTGCACGCTCCCAGAGCTCTAACCCAGAAGCCCGTGCAGCAGAGCCCCATGCAAGGAGCAGGCCCACCAGCTCTCACCAACCAGAACCCTCCGCACGCGTTACCACACGAGTGAACGAAAGCAACTACGCGTGAATAAACCTGGCAGATGACTGAACAAAGCTCATGACCCTTCACTGGATACTTACATGTCTTCGACTTCACCCCAGTCAGCTCAAAATCTGACCATTTTACTTCGTAGGTACCATGCAGATGGCGGCATGAGAAAAGTTTTCCTGCATAATTTGATGAGGAGCCCCTTTTATTTCCCCTTTCCCAATTTCACCATACGGCCAAAAATTAAATGACCTTGCAGTATCACTGGCAAATAATCACAGAAAGTATCAATTTAAAATGCTACCCCTGGTCATTCATGGCCTGGACCGAACACCAGAGCCCCTGCCTGCTGACATTACCAAGCCACGTTTCCCCAACACCTAATTAGCACATAATACCCAGGACAGCGATGGAATGTGTACTTCTCAGCCAAACTTTAGTTCTGAAAATCACTTCATTTTTTAAGCTTTATAAGCATATTTGGTGACTTCATTTTTCAATTTCAATATTTTTCTTATCCACAAGTACATGCCCCGTTGTCAAACGGTAGATGCCCTCCACGTCCAGTCCTCAGGGGCTCCTCCTCCTGCAGTCATTTCTAGGCCGCATCAGGCAGACAGGGCACGAAGACCGAACCCACTCCCCCAACCCTTTTTTTTTTTTTTAAGATTTATTTATTTGTTTTTGAGAGCGAGAGAGCAGCATGTGCGCACGAACTGGAAGGGCAGAGAATCGCAAGCAGACTGAGCACAGAGCCCGATGCAGGGCTCGATCTCACAACCGTGAGATCACGACCTGAGCCAAAACCAAGAGGCAGACGCTTAAGGACTGCACCATGCAGTGTCCCTGAACACCCACTCACTCCTTTTGAACCCCAGTCTGACTGGGCTCGTCCGGCTGCGTTTTGTGGGCCGTCCACCTCAGCCTCTACCAGGTGAGTTACTTCCAGGAAATGGTCAGTCACAACGTACCACAGGGGTCACGCCTCAAAACACAAAACCTGAAATACTTAGAAAGCTCAAACGCGGCCTCTCAAAATGAGCGCGCGTCTTTGCCCGCACCTTCTCTCGGATCTCCAGGGCTCTCTTACACAGCGGTTCGGCCTCTTTGTACTTCCCTCTCTTGCCGTAAAGCACCGCAAGGTTATTCAGAGTCGCCGCCACCTGCCAACGGAGGGACGAGCAGAGACCTGTAAGCAGCAGTAGCGGCAGGACCTGTCTCACGCGCTCGGCGACGTGCTCTCCACGGAGCGAGGGGACAGGACTTCAGTGAAAAACAAAGGGCAGTTCACAACACGCTACAGGTTACACTAAGTGAACCGGAGACACTAAAATTAAACAATCAACAACACCGTGATCTTGATTTTTTTTTTTTTTTTAATTTCACTGGAAGCCACAAAGCCAACCCAAACACAGATCTGCTTGCAAATCTGGCCAGATTTTAAGAAAAATGTAAATTCTTTAGAAAAAAATTTAGAGAAGTACATGCAATTTGATTTCGGATAAAAAAATACAGTACGTGACCCGCGGGCGGTAGCGGCGATGAACAGATTAGCGCGTGCGCGCACAGGCCGAGCGCCAGAACCTCCGGGGACGGAGCTCAGCGCGGGGACTGAGCGAGTGAGGACTCCTACCTGCACCTCTAGTCAAAGGGCAGCTCTTAAACCTTCCCTGTTGAGTTTAATATTAAAATGAGTTGGGTAAAAAAAAAAAATATTAGGGAAAATGAAATATAAAAAGGAAAGAACCAGATATACAAACCGCAGGATGATCTTTGCCCAAAGTCTTCTCGCGGATGGCCAAGGCATCGTTCAGCAGATTAGCGGCATCTTTGTATTTATTCTGGTCTCTACATTGAAAAGCACACGTTAAGTGTTTTGGATATAACTTATGTCTTTTTTAAAAAATGCAATTTTGAAACTACAGAAATAAAAGTTAAACTTGAGCTATTTAAAAAATAAAAGTCCACTATTAAAATGATCAGAAATACCGCCAGTGTAAAAGAAAAAGATCCCACCAATGAACGGGAACTTGGAATCAGACCCAATTAGCTCTGGAACCTGGCCCGCCCGTCCAGGTTTCGGGGACGACACTGCCCCCACACCACAGCACTGTACTGCAGAGTATGGGAGCCGGTCCAGAAGGCCGGGCAGAGTTTCACCTGCTATCAGACAGAACTGATCCCAGGGTTCGATCCCAGGCTCTGCCAGCTAAGGCCTGCAAGGCCTTGGGACATTAAGCAGCCCCCCACAGTCCCAGTCAACCTGTCTAGAAAGTGTCTTACCTAACTCACAGAGTTGCTCTAAGAAGCTAATGATATGCTGTGCGTATAATGCAAAACCTTGTTAAAAATAAATATGTCACAGTGTGTTCATCTGGGACACACCTTCCCACTGTGTGCTTGAGGAAGGAGGGAGGCGGCGGCTCCTGACTGCCGTAAGACAGAAGCCCAGCCCCAGCCTCTGCCCCCCTTGCTTTGGTACCGACAACGTGATCACAGAAGTTACTCGCTCCGTGAGACCAGCACACGTGCTCCTTAACTGTGTCTAAGAGCTGCCCGGCAAGGCTTTGCCCTGCAGAAGCCAGACTCCCCTGCGGGACACGCAAAGGGTGAGCGCACCCCCGGAACCTCTGAAGCTAACTCTGGCCGAGGGTACTGAGGTTGTTTTCTCCCAATACCCTACAACACACGACAAACTGGCTCAAACATTTTGTGAAAATCAGCAGGTATGACAGAAAGTCTCGAGAACTACTAGAGACACTTAAAACCAGTTAACAAGAACTACCGAAAAGCCTGGTAAGCTAAAAGAGGCAAGGGGTACCGAGCACTTTTCCAAACTGTAGCAGGCCCGAAAATGTCAGCAGCTATTAATTAATTAGCCAAAGCGAGAGGACACCAAGAGCAACGGCACTGGTTCCCAGGCGTGGCCCCAAACCCACGACCGTCACCCTCAGCCGGAACACGAAGAAACCAGCCGCGCCCCAGGAACTCTGGTGCTGGGGTCTGCACTCAACTGACCAGGAAATTCAAACTGAAAATGAAAACAGAAGTTACACCGCCGCACGCAGGAAATGCCTAACAGAAAAATGCGCAAGATTATGGAAGAGTCACAGAAGGACACAATTGACTAAAAATATCCAACCAGGGAAGCACGAAGGCAACCACAAGGCCGTGCTTCCCGTTGCTGAAGCGCGGGGACAAGCCTCGCCGCCGGCCGGGAAACGCGGCTGGAGCAGGAGAGGGAAAGGGGACGCCCCCGGCCTGAGGAGTGTGGCCACAGGTACCAGGCGTAGACTGTGCAGACGCTAACCCACTGCAGGAACCGATTCTCAAAAAGCCAAAATCTCAGACAAATCTTCTAAAGACGTTTATCAGTATGTTATGCTCTTCCCCCAAGGAGTTAAAATTAAACGTGCCCTGACACAAGAACGCGGAGAAGGTACAGGCCAGCCCCGGGGTGCAGCCCTGAATGAGAATGCGGACGTGCAGGCGGCTCTGCACTTGTTTCTGACTCCGGACGGACCGAACCCCTCGGCCAGAGCACGAAGGGAAACGCCAGAGTGCAGCGAGGCCCAGAAACTGCCGCCACCGGACACTGTAAACGAGGAAGCAGCACGCCTACAACCCACAACAGAAACCCTATGTGCATTTTTTTATTTAACTCATTTATAATAGTAATGTCTATTGTCGGCCAAAAGTCTTCATGTTACCACACGCAAATTGCTCTCAGCTTCATTTATTTGAATGACCCCTACTCCCAACATGGGGCTCGAACTCACGACCCTGAGATCAGGAGTCGGATGCTCTACTGACTGAGCCAGCCAGCGGCCCAGTGCAGACACATTTTTAAAACTTTGGAATGAAAGTGGCATCATCCGTCAAGATTTTAAACGTAAATCCCCGAGTCCCTACGCTACGTTAACAGTGAAGATCTGCGAACCACCCCAATGTCCACCCGCAGGGCAGCTCAGAAAGGTCCAGACTACCCGCGAGAGTGCGCTGCGCTGCCCAGAAGACCTCGGCTGACCACGGCCAGGGCTGCGGACATGCTGGGAAAGGCCTCTTGCTTTCTGGTGTTTTGTTTTGTGAAGAAATCACTCATCTCTATGAATGGCTGCAACAGTTTGTTTCTCTTCCCTGAGGCCCTCTCTGTCCTCTCCCTCTGCACCGTCCCCGTCCCTGCTCAGACCCCAGCTCCATATCCCTAGGATCCTGCCCTGCCTCCAGGCCCCAGTCACCACACCATCCTACGCACAAGGCCAAAGGGACTCTGGCGACACCCGAGCAGGGGCCCACTGCTCCCCACCAGCACCCCTCAGCACTGCCCTCAGGACCCCCGCGGTCAGGCCCCGCTTCTCCCTGCCCCATCTCTTACCGCTGTCCTTCAGGTGCCGTCAAGCTTTGCCAGCGAGGTTCAGGAATACGCCCCAAACACACCCAACACCGCACACCAATGCCACCCGCCCTCCGAGGCCCGGCCGAGTGCTGCTCCCCCCCTTCCGTTAATCCTTCCCTTAGCCCCTCAACTGGAAGGAATCTTTCTGCTCCATGAAAACTTTTGTGTTATTCTATTAGCAGAACCCGGTCTCCTGCTCCTGTAACTGCACACGAATGTAAAGAGCCTCTCTTCGACACGAGGCCATCAGTTCCTTGAGAACGTCCTGTGAGCGTTTCACGTCTGCCGGGCAACCCTACGCGTCACATGCCCCTAGTCCTCCCCTGGACCTCTGAGTGGACAGTACAACGGCCTCCATTTCAGATATAAGAAAACTGAGGCTCAGGAAAGCTAAGGGCTCTGGACAACATCCTCTGTCTTGTGGCCATCTAGCAGAGACAGAACCTGAATTCTCCTGACTTGAAATTCAATGTCCTACTTTCTCCGAGGGCAGGAACCATACACGCATTCATCTCTAGGGCCCCACGGGAAGCAGCCGAGTCTGACCCATACTTGGGGGACAAAAACGTCAAATGGGGACAATCAAACCAGTGAAGAGACACCAATGTGTTCATCCCAACCCACAAAACTGGAAGGGCTACAGCAAACCGATCCTGCTGTGCGAAGAACCACTCCCTTCTCCGTTGCGACTCACTGCAGCTGAGTTCAGCTGAAAGACACACACAAAAGACTCCAACACATCACTCCCTGTGCCACAGGGAAAATTCCTTAGTTCCCTTCAAGGTGTTCACCAAGGGCTCCTGAGAGAGGAAGCACGCTAGCGTGAGGTGAGAAGTGCAGACAGGACACAAGCTGGTCCCCAACTTTGAGGGACACTGTTCTGGGAGAAGACAGAACAAAATTCAAAGAACCCCAACGCCAAGCACAGTGAGAAGTGCCAGAGAAGAGGCAAGGGTTAAGGGCACTGGGGGCACAACAGGGGCAAAGGGCAAGTGGGACCTGAGACTCAGAACGGGGAGAGAGCTAACAAGGTCCTAGAAGGGTGGGAAGGCCATTCCGGACAAAAGAAACGTGGTGCACAGGACCTGGCGGAAAATGGCAAGAGGCTCAGTCTGGCCCGAGTGAAGGGCGCACGTGGGCTACTGCAGGCGGCCGACGGGGGTTGTCCGGGCAGTCTGTGTCGCACGGGGCGGTAACTGCCACAGAGCTGGCTCAGTGTTTTGAATTTAACCCCACGGCCGTGTGAAGAGACGTGACCAATGGAGCCCGCAAAGCAGGCTTCTACAGGTTTACAGAAACGTACTTCAAACCCTCCAAGTTCATCAGAAATACCGTGGGCAGAGAAAGCAAGGGCAGGGAATGGGTACTGGCCTGTACACCAAGGCCAGGATGTTCAGCATGGTGGCCACATCCGGGTGGTCGTGGCCGGACGTCTTCTCCAGGTCCTCCAGGGCCTGCTTGCAGAGCGGCACGGCCACCTCGTAGCGCCCCTGCGAGGCGTACTGGATGACCAGGTTGTGCAGCGTGCGCAGCCGCGCCGGGATCTCGTAGCCGCCCTGCTGCGCGGCCGCCGCCGCACTGCTGTGCTGCTGCTGGACTGCACACAAGAACAGGAGGCAGGCGACAGCGTCAGTCGGACCCCTCCTCCCTAGCTCCGGTCTCGGGGGACGCCTGGCCCCCACGCTGCGCAAACCCGAGCCGCGCTGCCCCGGCGGGCGGGGGGCTGCGAGCCACGTGTTGAGGTAGCGTGACGCCCCCAACAGTGCAGGGAGGCTCCCCTCAGCACCCGACCAACCCTGCCTGTCTCCCTCTGCAAGAATGCACACACTGCACGCGAACTGCTGGTTCGGGCCCCAGGTTCGTTGTAGGGGCTGGTCCAACATCTACTGCATCCCGGTAAGAAACACCTGAAGTTGTCTTGGGAAATGCTGGGTGACCAGTGTGCACGTGCCTCTGGGAAGCAGCTACCAGCACCAGGACGCCCACTAACTATGGCCATCACGTCAGGACAGGACAAGCCACCTTCTGTTTGTACATGCTGCCATGTAACCACTCCCCCTCGCCAACTTACTTCCTTGACCGGGATCGTCGTCGTCATTTGGGAAAAGGTCATCCAGAGGCTCTTTGGTGGAATCAGTGTCTTTGTCCTCCTGTAAAACCAATCCGGAAGAACTTCAGCCTTACCAGTACTACAAATCCTGCACCAGAAATCCTTCATACAAATATCAGTTTAACAAAACAATCTCAGAAAGGATAACCGGTTTTGAAAATCAAATATAGGGACGTCCGGGTGGCTGTCGGTGGAGACTGCCTTCCGCTTGGATCATGATCCCAGAGTCCTGGATTGGCAGGGGGTCTGCTTCTCCCTCTGCCCCTCACCCTGCTCATGCTCTCTCGGTCTCTCCTTCTCTCTCAATAAATAAATAAAATCGTTAAAAATAAAGTAAATCAAATATGGGATTAACCACAATTTGGCTTATCTACCGATTTAGAAGATAGTAATAAAGAGCCTGCTAGACTAGAACTCAAACCCGAGATGCAGACCACAGGGCAGCCGACGACCATGACGGCATCTCTATGCCTCAAGTTCTTCACAACATTCTGAGAAGTTCAAATACAGCAGGGAAACTCTTCCTTGAAATAAATTTTATTTGGAAACCAAATATGTAACTAACAGACTAAAATGGCCCATCACTGAACGCCACAGAACTGGAGGGCTCAAATCCCCCTTCCCTGCACACCACCACCACAGGACTCCTAAGAGCAACCTAAAACCTGCCAGCTTTTTTTTTTTTTTTTTTTTTAAGATTTTATTTATTTATTTACTGGAAGAGAAAGAGAGAATCCCGCATAGGCTCCACGACCAGTGCAGAGCCCGATGCAGGGCTGGATCCCTTGCCTAAGATCCCCTGAGCCCATGACCTGACCCAAAAGCAAGAATCCGACACCCAACCAACTGAGCCACCAGGTGCCCCGGAAACCTGCTGGCTTTAAGTCTGTGCCTCGAGTCTCCCCACAGATCCCTGATTAGTGCAGGGATAAAAACCACGACGGCACACTGGGAGAGAAGAGACAACAGCCTGACCAAGTGGAAAGTCAGCGTCATCCTCCCTTGCCTCTGGAAGGGGTCACGTGAGACGTACACAGACTCATCCTGATACTGCTCCTGTCTGGGACACAGGATCTAAACACAGAGAGACACATGAGACAAACCCAGACTGAGGAACCCACGAAGTAACTGACCCGTGTACTCTTCAAAACCATCTGTGTCATGAAAGGCAGAGAAAAACTGTTTTCTCTGTTTGAAAAAGACCTGTTTCAGATGAAAGCCAGCCGAGGAGACGTGACAGCTGAGTGCCACATAGGGTCACGGACCAGCTCCTGGCATGGTGAAAGAAGGCCATGACGGGCTCTGCTAAGACGAGGAGGACACAGTGCAGACGAGCACCATGTCCATGTAAAACTTCCGGACCACAGCCGGCCCCGCCTGCTCACGGGCACGTCCCCATGCCACGGAAACGCGCCCAGCAGCAGCCGGGGAGTGTGCCATGACCTGTGCCGCCTACTCCAATGCATTCAGAAGAAACCATCATCCAGGTACACCCCGAAAGGACAGGCAGAATTAGCTCTGTTAGCTCTCTTCTCCAAGCTCAGTATTTTCTCAAAATAACAAGTTTTAAAAGTCTGATTCAACAAAACCCTACAACATCACCCAGTATTCTAGGCGAATCACGGGCTGCCATCTGTAGCTCATTTATTCTTATTCCCACAGCAACCCACAGCAATACGTCTTCTAAATCAAAAGCAAGGGAGAATTACAGTCGGGCTAATAAAGCAAGGTGCTGTGGGCTAACGTGTCCCCCAAAAACCACAAATGGAAGCCCTCGCCCTCCAGGCGATAGCATGTGGAGGTGGGCCTTTAGGAGGTAATGTGGGTCAGATGGAGTCACGGAGATGGGGCCACCACGATAGAACTAGTCTCCTTAACAAAAAGGAAAAAAGACACTAGATACCTCCCTCTCTCTGCACGCACCAAGGAAGGCCACGTGAGGACACAACCAGGATAAAGGCCCTCACCAAGAACCCAACCGTGCCAACATCCTGACCTTGGAACTGTGGGAATAAGCCACGCAACTGTGGTATTCTGTCGCAATGGCCCGAGCTGATGAAGACCCGCACTCTGGCGATGGGAGATGTAACATGAGGAGAGTCTGGGTGAAGCATGTATGGAAATTCTCTTTACTATCTTTTCAATTTTTCTGTGAATCTAAAATTACTCCAAAATTTGTATTTAAAAAATTGTTTTTCAGTTAACTGAATCAGATATAAATGGTAGGTAAAAAACAAGACCAAGAAGAACAGCCTGAGAGCCAAGAGAAAAAGGAGAAAACCAAGCTCCTTCGGGAATATTCCAAACACACAGTAAGTGGGCAAGAGAGACCAAGGAGGCGGCAAGAGAACCAGGTAGAGTCCCAGCAGCAGGAGAAAGAGTTTCAGAGAGAAAGGTGTCCGCAGCACCACCGGCTACAGGGGGAGTCCCAAGTCTGGATTCTAGACAACAGGATGGGATGCACACCGACCTGAGGAAAGTGCCAGCATCGTGATGAGCTTGGAAGCCAGACTCAATGGGTTCTCAAGCGGGGAAAGCCTCATGAGGTGCCCCTCTGCATCGTGCCTTACCCATAGTGGTTGTGTGCACGTGTCTGACCACTGCGCTAAAACACACCTGTGAAAAGCATGTGACCTGCCAGGGACTAAGCCCCAAGACCCATAACCTCTGGTGGCTCAACGCAATCATCAGAGAAGGGCAACACAGCTGGACTAAAGCAGCCGACGACATGGTCAGCTGTCAGTGCTGCGCTCCCACGGAGCCACTTACGGATGGGGAGATGTCGTCATCGTATTTCTTTAACTGATTCATGAACTCCAGGTGCTTCTTCTCCTCCTCCAGCTGAGCCACGGACTGCTCGCTCTTCTGCAGCTTCTGCTGCGTGTTGGCCAGCTCGTCCCGCAGCCACTGATTCTCCTGGCACAGCCGACGAACCTGCGCGCGCAGCTTCTGCTTCTCGGACTCCACAGCGTTCAGGTGGTTGGACAGAGCCATCATGACCTAGGGAGACAGAAACGCTGACGGTAGCCCCGCATCGGGCTCTCTGCTCAGCGGGGAGCCTGCTCCCCCCCCCACCTGCCTCTCTGCCTACTTGTGATCTCTCTCTCTGTCAAATAAATAAATAAAATATTTAAAAAAAAAAAATGGGGCGCCTGAGTGGCTCAGTGGGTTAAGTCTCTGCCTTCGGCTCAGGTCATGATCTCAGAGTCCTGGGATCGAGCCCCACATCCAGCATTCTGCTCAGCGGGGAGCCTGCTTCCCCCTTTCTCTCTCTGCCTGCCTCAATGCCTACTTGTGATCTCTCTCTCTGTCAAATAAATAAATAAAATATTCAAAAGAAAAAAAGAAACGCTGACGGCCTGTAGCGTCGCTCCCACGCTTCTCACCCCCGCCGACGCAGGCATCCTGGGCCTGCAGCTCTCACTTCTACTGCACACATGTGCTCTGACACAGACAGGTACAAATGCCAATGACTTCCCTTGTCACCCTCAGTCTCAGGCTACAGAGGGGGCCATGGTAAAGAATATCACGTGCTGGGCGCCTGGGTGGCTCAGTGGGTTAAGCCTCTGCCTTCGACTCAGGTCATGATCTCAGGGTGCTGGGATCGAGCCCCGCATCGGGCTCTCTGCTCAGCAGGGAGCCTGCTTCCCCCTCTCTCTGCCTGCCTCTCTGCCTGCTTGTGATCTCTGTCAAATAAATAAATAAAATCTTTAAAAAAAAAAAAAAAAAAGAGTATCACATGCTCAGAACATCTACAGAAACTAGATGCTGTTCTTCTGTTTGACAGCATCTCACATGGACCAGTGATGGACACACAGCTACTCTTCTGACAAGACTCTATGTTCTTTCCTTCTACCTAGGTGGCTCCAACATCATTTCTCAGAGGCGCTTCTCCATGTAAGAGTGTGTGCACAGGCACGCACTGTGTACAGAGCGCCGGTCCCTCCAGGAGGGGCAGGTGACAGAGCTAAGGAAGGGCATGCAGACAAATCTTTGATGTTCCAAGGTAAGGGAAGAAATCTTTAGCTAGCCGCCTAATCAGAACACACTGGTATATCCCTAAGGTTAGGACCATGTCACAAAATCCGGTGACTGTCCCAGGGCTCTGCCTGAGTGCACCAGACCTGCCTGAGGCATCAGCACGCCGCTGGGAAGTGTATGAGCAGAAACACCTGGGCAAAGCTGGCTCCAGTCTGTTCTCTCTTTAGACAACACAATTGCCCTGCCCTCCACTATCCTCCTACCTTTCAGACCTAAACTCCAGAAGGTGAGGCTCTTTTCTCCTCCTTTTCTTAACTCTAATATCTGCCCAACTAAAAAGGAAGTCCGTATTCACATCACTTTTCAGTAACAGAAAATGCCATATAATACATTCACAATAACCAAGCAAAGTTAAAATTCTACAATGAGGTCTTTCACACAGTCGGGATGAAGAACTCTAAAATCAGGGTCTGGGGGCACCTGGGTGGCTCAGTGGGTTAAGCCTCTGCCTTCAGCTCGGGTCATGATCTCAGGGTCCTGGGATCGAGTCCCACATCGGGCTCTCTGCTCAGTGGAGAACCTGCTTCCTCCTCTCTCTCTCTGCCTGCCTCTCTGCCTACTTGTGATCTCTCTCTGTGAAATAAATAAATAAAATCTTAAAAAAAAAAAAAAAAATCAGGGTCTGGACGGTTACTATGACAAACGGTGTTCTCTACATGAAAGTGGAAACTAGTGACCCAGCAGCCCTATTCAGCTTTCATCGCTTAAAAGCAGAAAGCTAAGGGGCACCTGGGGGGAACAACAGGTTCAATGTCTGACTCTTGGTTTCAGCTCAGATCATAATCTCAGGGTCCTGGGATCGAGGCCTCCCCGCTCCCAACGGAATCTGCTCGAGATTCTCTTCCTCTCCCTCTGCCCCACCCAACGATGCACGCACTCTCTCAAATAAATAAATCTTTAAAAAAAAAAAAAAAAAAAGAGGAAAGCTAAGAAGAAAGAAGCCAAATTTTACTATATGTGATTTTGCCTAAAATATGCTGGCAGAACCACACATTATCAAGGGGCAGGGCTACCACAAGAGGCTTCTTTTCTTTTCGGATTGACTGATCTTAGGGGGAAGGGTGACGGAAAGGGAGACTCTCAAGCAGACTCCCCGCAATGAAGCAGGGCTCAATCTCACTATGAGATCACAACCTGAGCTGAAACCAAGAGCTGGATGCTCAACCAACTGTGCCCCGCCCCCCAGATGTTTCTAATTTTTTCACCTCTATGTCCCACATGATAAAAACAAAGGTTTAGTTAAATATATATAGCAATCTCGTCTTGGAGAACTGCAGAAACTATTAGCTGTTGGCCAATATCCATTCTCCCTTCTCCCTTAGGCCTAAGAATGTGGACCTTGAAGTAGGCAGAGCAACATTCCCCAGGCTCCCTCACAACAGGGTGTGGCGATGGAACCACGGTCTGGCCAGTGAAATGTAAGCTGTGTTGTGCCTCAGCTGGAGGAAGTAAAGGGAGGAGGGACACCCTTCCTGTCCTAGAATGGGGTCAGGTGGCCGTGGCTGGAGCTCCATCTTAGTCCACAAAAAAGACTGTGTGCACCGCAATGCAGAGGCCTGTGTGTCCCTGACGACCATGCAGCTACACAACCCTTCCGGGCGCGGCCTACCTCGGCATTTCTTTATGTATGTCTACGATGTTTAAGCCGCTGATTTCGGTTTTGGATACATGCACCCAAATCGAATCCAGAATGACAAGGTCACCTCGGTCTTGGCTCTGCTTTTTAAAATTTAGACATGCCGGGACGCCTGGGTGGCTCAGTGGGTTAAGCAGCTGCCTTCGGCTCAGGTCATGGTCCCAGCGTCCTGGGATCGAGTCCCACATCGGGCTCCTTGCTCATCAGGGAGCCTGCTTCTCCCTCTGCCTCTGCCTGCCACTCTGTCTGCCTGTGCTCGCTCTCTCCCTCTCTCTCTCTGACAAATAAATAAAATCTTTAAAAATAAATAAATAAATAAAATAAAATAAAATTTAGACATGCCCAAATCAATCATTTATATACTTTACAAGCTGACCTCTGTTATCCTAGAAGTATCTTCCCTCTAGTTTCATTAAACCACGTATTTCAAAACAAAATCTCCGTTCTCCAGACTGTCAAGTTCCTATTCTTGTCGGAGGTGACTTCATTCATACCTGTGCCTCACTCAGGCCAAGCTCCAACATTTCCAGAGACTTTCGGATCATGTTTGATTTTTCTTCCACCAGATTACTTTCATCATCTTTCTTCAAACACTTCAGTGTCTCAAGTAAACTTTGTAAGATGGAATTGTGCTCGTTCTTCAGAGCTTCCAGCCCCTGAATCACTTGCTTTGTCTTAGAAATAATCTCATCCTGTGTCAGCTTCTCCAACTTGTCTTCCTTTATATACACCATCGTGGACATGTTGTCGTACATTCTAGAATGGAGGAAGGAAAACAGATGAGGCATCTCATCACAGGTGTCATTTATGTTACATCTCTAATAAAATACACTGTGTGAAGACTTTTAGATTAACATTTTTATAGGTGAATAATAAATGTGTTTATCTGTGACTTGCTGAAATACTGTACTGTTTCTCTTTTCCCTCTGCAGACCAATTTAATTACATTTCTGGCTTATGCCTGAATTCTTTTTAATGGGAAAAATGACAACACTTGAAATTAATGCCAAAGATTAAAAGTACCAAAACATTCAAATGGCATTTCTACAGCACAAAGCCTCAGTGAACAGGAGTTCTCTGAATGTCTGCAAGCTTTTTCCCCTTAATGAAAAGTAGAAGGGACAGTAAATTCTTGGTAACATATTTACCAGAAAAAGCCTTGAGAAGTGGTCACAGTTGGAAGAAGGAAGAAAACCAGCAAAGGAACATGGGAACAACCAGAGTAGCAGGAGAAGGACTAGGTCCGTCTGAAACACGGCAAGAGAGTGGCGTGAGCAGGGCCATCAGCACAGTAAAGACGCAAGGAGGACGAGGGCTAAGCATGCCTATGGGATCCGACTAGCCGAGAGGCCACCAAATTCCAGTGTCTGGAACTGGCTTTAAAATAATAAAATGAGGAAGAAAAAGGAAAGGGGCATATAAAACAGTGTCAGCATACCCGTGACTGCTGAAACTAATAGGTCTTAAACCCCCTAATTAAGTTAAACAGAAGAAAAAGTCACGGTGAGCATGAAAGCGGCTCGGGAGACTGAAAGCACTGAAGTCAGACTGCGGGTCAGTGTGACTCCCTTCGGAGCACTCAGCACTCCCCGAGGTCCCATCTGCGGTCACGTGTCGTTCGTACCACCCTGAATGCAAGCCCTGTCGGAAAGGCAAGGCCTCGATCTTGTACCCATCCCACTACATCACATCCCCAGGACGGTGTTGAGCCCTGGCCGACCGCGTGGTGCAGGCCTGGACGGATAGACAGAAGCCCATGCAGGAAAGGAGCGCCGAAGCACCAAACCCGTGCTTAAGGAGCACACGCGTGCGGAGCCGCTGCGGTGTTCAATCAGCACGTTGTACGCCTGAAGCAGAACACTGGCTAACTATACTGGAATTAAAATTCAAAACTTTACTAAAAAACATTAAATCCTGGGGCAACTGGGTGGCTCAGTGGGTTAAAGCCTCTGCCTTCAGCTCAGGTCATGATCCCAGGGTTCTGGGATCAAGCCCCGCATCGGGCTCTCTGTTCAGCAGGGAGCCTGCTTCCTCCTCTCTATCTGCCTGCCTCTCTGCCTACTTGTGATCTCTGTCAAATAAATAAATAAAATCTTAAAAAAAAAAAATTAAATCCTATCAACTATAAAAACAGTCAGTGTCCTCTCTCTGCAAAGAAGGGAAGAGAGGGAGTTCTGTTTATAAAAAAGAGAAAAGAATGGGAAGGGGCAGAGGTTTTATCCCCCCCCCACCCCCGCACAGGAAAAATTTTATATACTTTTTGCCCCACTGCACTCCCTTCCAGCAACTCTCATTTGCTTCCCGTGATTAAGTGCCTCTTACAGTTTGTCTCCCATTCCAATTTCACCTTATTTTTTTCTCCATTCCCCTATGATCCTGTTTGTTTTGTTTCTTAAATTCCACACGAATGAGATCACATGACAACTGTCTTTCTCTGGTTGACTTATCTCGCTCAGCATAATACCCTCTAGTTCCATCCATGTCGCTGCAAACAGCAAGATTTCAATTTTTGATGGCTGAGTAATATTCCACACCCCACATCTTCTTTATCCATTCATTCATGCACATCTGGGCTCTCTCCAGTTTGGCTATTGTAGACGCTGCTGCTATCAACACTGGGGTGCACAGGCCCCTTTGGATCACTACATCTGTATCTTTTAGCTAAATACCCAGTAGTACACTTGCTGGGTGGTAGGGTAGCTCTATTTTCAACTTTTGAGGAAACTCAAAATGTTTTCCAGAGTGGCTGTACCAGCTGGGGCAGGTTTAAAGAGGAGTAGGAAGGGACGCCAGGGTGGCACAGTCAGTTAAACATCAACTCTTGGTTTTGGCTTGGGCTGTGATATCAGGGTCCTTATATCAACACCCCCCTCCAGTCAGGTTTAGCCGAGCCTGCTTCGGACTTTCTCCCTCTCCCTCCCCTTGCCCCGCTCATGCACGCACACGATCTCTCCCAAAATAAATAAGCAAAGTCTTAACAAGGGGGGCCTGAGTGGCTCAGTGGGTTAAGCCTCTGCCTTCGGCTCAGGTCATGATCTCAGGGTCCTGGGGTCAAGCCCCGAGTCAGGCTCTCTGCTCAGCAGGGAGCCTGCCTCCCCCTCTCTCTCTGCCTGACTCTCTGCCTACTTGTGATCTTTCTATTAAATAAATAAATAAAATCTTTAAAAAACAATAAAAAGAATTCCATAGCCAGCCAAACTCTCAATCAACTGTAGGAATAGGAGAATAACATTTTTAGACATACCAGGTCTCAAAAACTTCTACCTCTCATGCTCCCTCAGGTTCAGGAAGATGAGTGCAAGCAAAATGATAAGTCGAGAAGAAAACATGAAAAAAAAAAAGAGAGAGAAAACATGGACTACGGAGCACAGGGTTCACTGTGAGGAAGACAGAGCTCTGCACCAACCTAGGAACAAGTGCTATAGACGAGGATGGATTAGAACCAATTTAAAAAGGAAATGAAAACAAGATAAGTAGCTCCTAAGGAAAACAAAAGGTCAAATAGGAAAAGTAATCATTGTTTACTATATAGCTCAGCTCTTGCATTTATAGAGTCTAAAGATATAAATGGTTAAGACTATCTAAACAGAGGCACCTGGGTGGCTCAGTGGGTTAAAGCCTCTGCCTTCGGCACAGGTCATGATCCCAGGGTTCTGGGATCGAGCCCCGCATCGGGCTCTCTGCTGGGTGGACAGCCTGCTTCTCTCTCTCTCCGTCTGCCTCTCCGCCTACTTGTGTTCTCTGTCTGTCAAATAAATAAAATCTTTAAAACAAACAAACAAAAAGACTGATCTGAACAAAATTAGAGGGACGCCTGGGTGGCTCAGTTGGTTAAGCGGCTGCCTTCAGCTCAGGTCATGATCCCAGAGTCCTGGGATCGAGTCCCACATCAGGCTCCTTGCTCAGCGGGGAGCCTGCTTCTCCCTCTCCCACTCCCCCTGCTTGTGCTCCCTCTCTCGCTGTGTCTCTCTGTCAAATACACAAATAAAATCTTTAAAAAAGGGGCGCCTGGGTGGCTCAGTGGGTTAAGCCTCTGCCTTCGGCTCGAGTCATGGTCCCAGGGTCCTGGGATCGAGCCCCACATCGGGCTCTCTGCTCGGCAGGGAGCCTGCTTCTTCCTCCCTCTCTGCCTGCCTCTCTGCCTGCCTCTCTGCCTACCTGTGAGCTCTCTCCCTCTGTCAAATAAATTAAAAAAAAAAAAATCTTAAAAAAAAAAAAATTAACAGGCAATACAATTTTCAACAGTGTGACAAATTTTACCGAACCTTACCCCCCTCTCAAAAATTAACAACAAGAGGGGCACCTGGCAGTGGACTCTTGATTCTGGCTCAGGTTGTGATTCCGGGGTCAGGGGACTGCCCCCACACCCTCGCCTGGGCCACACTTGGGAAGAGTCTGCTTGGCCCTTTCCCTCTTCCCTAACCCCTCCCCAGTTCAAGTGTGTGAAAACACACACATGCTCTCTCTCAGATAAATAAAATCTTTAAGAAAAAAAAAAAAAAAAAAATTAACGGAGCGCCTGTGTGGTTCAGTCGGTAAAGCCTCCGCCTTTGGCTCAGGTCATGATCCCAGGGTCCTGGGGTCCAGCCCCACACCGGGCTCCCTGCTTCTCCCCTTCCCCTCTCCCCGCTGCTCTGCCTACTTGTGCTCACTCTCTCTCTTGCGTCCAAAAAAAAAAAAAAGAATTAACAAAAAGAAAGCAAAGGCCAGAGAAGGAAAGAGCATCATTTTGGTTACTTTACTTCCCTGGTTTTAACATGTGAAATTCCACCAGGAAGCAGTAAAAAGCTGATGTGGTAAATAAGGTTTAAACACACACACACACACACACACACACACACACACACACACACAGGGGCATCTGGGTGGCTCAGCATCTGCCTTCAGCTCAGGTCATGATCCTTCAGTCCCAGGACTGAGCCCCACGTTGGGCTTCCTGCTCATCGGGGAGTCTGCTTCTCCCTCTGCCTCTCCCCCACCCAGCTTCTGTTCTCTCTCTTGCTCACCCTCTTTCTCTCTTAAACAAATAATTAAAATCTCTAGATATATATATATATGTTTGGTTTTTTTTTTAAAGGGAACGTGTGGAGTTAGTTTAGCGGTGGTGGCTGCCCGACAGGGAGAACATACTAAAAAATGCACTGAATTGTACACTTTAAAATGGTCACTACTATGTTACATGGCTTACATCTCTATTTTTTTTTTAAAGATTTATTTATTTATTTGAGAGAGAGACAGTGAGAGACAGCATGAGTGAGGAGAAGGTCAGAGAGAGAAGCAGACTCCCTGCGTAGCCGGGAGCCCGATGCAGGACTCGATCCCGGGACTCCAGGATCATGACCTGAGCCGAAGGCAGTCGTCCAACCAACTGAGCCACCCAGGCGTCCCTACATCTCTATTTTTTATTTTTTCATCTTTTTAAAAAGATTTTATTTATTTGACAGAGAGAGACACAGCAGGAGAATGAACACAAGCAGGAGGAGCAGCAGACAGAGGGAGAAGCAGGCTTCCCGACGAGGTGGGAGCCCGATACGGGGCTCATCATGACCTGAGCCGAAGGTGGACGCTTAACGACTGAGCCCCCCAGGCGCCCCATCTCAATTTTTTAAAAGAATGTGATAGAGGGATGCCTGCGTAGCTCAGTGGGTTAAGTGTCTGCCTTTGGCTAGGGCTGGGATTGAGTCCCACATCAGGCTCCCTGCTCAATGGGAAGCCTGCTTCTCCCTCTCCCTCTGCTGCTTCTCCTGCTTGTGCTC